AAAACATCTAAATGTATCGTACAACTCAGACGGCGTACAATATCAGCAATATACTTCCTAGAATTGCCAATCATCGTCTGAATAGCACTTCAATTGAATGTATTGGCTGATCATTGATTAGCCCACATACGAGCCGATGCACCACGAACCAACTTTTGACAGACGTTACGCGCCCACGTTCTACAATCACGCCATTCAAAAGTCACGTACTAGCTAACTAGCTCATCAAGCTATCCTGAACTGTCAAAATATTATATTTTCGACTTTATATTTGAAGCTAGTCGATTGTCAAATAATGATGTGATTTTCCCAAAAAGTAGTCGCTAGTTATGCTAGTCGAGTCCTAATGTAGTAAAAAGTCTAAGTGTATTTAGAAATCCGGAAAATTGAACATTTTTATGAATGTCAAAGTTATCATGATCTAAGAAATCTAGAGTAAAGGCACAGTAGTAGATTTACAGTCTTTCTGAAATTTTAATATCTTTCTTCTCGACATTAACTTTCTGTGTTATCGACAGAAACAATGGGTATTCTAAACAAAATTATGCGTCGGAGCAGGTCTATGAGAGAACCCGGTGTCTTTAACAGTTCCTTGTAAAACTACCCCTATAGCCTCGGATGGCTATCGGGGTAGTTTTACTGAGGTAAAAATCTCACACACTCTTCGTCTTTCACTACGTAACCAAAAAAAAAGGTATTCTAAATATGTACCTACCGTCGGTATGTTATTATTTTTCGCTTTCCTGTATATTTTATCGCTTAAACCATGATTAGTTTATGAGCTAGGAGTGGACCATAGACTCGTAAGGCGTGTATAACGTGCGTAAAAGGTCACAAGCGAGACGCGAAGGCTATTCGGAAAGTAGACTGGCGCCTGCGCAGTTCTAAGCAAATTCGGTAGATTGCACGTGCGCGCGCGCCACCCAGCTCTAAAAGGAAAGTACGGATTGTCTAGTTTCTCATTTTTACAATAGATATATGTATTTAGTTTCTATGTCTGGTGGAATGTCGTAGGCTGGAATTTGAGGCGTCGATTTTGGTCGTCGACCTCCGATCCCATTTGACCAACTTTTCCAACAATAATATAGAATTTATAACAATAAATCGTCTACGAAACGTATCTAGAAAATAAGTTTTATAAATAATAATATAATTCCAAATACGGAAAATACAAGTAGATACTGCGACTCAAAAATATAAAGCTACTGACTGGCCCATATTATAAATATTATGCTATTTAAATGAGTAAACACAGACGAAATAAAATTAAAACCTGTCTCATAATCCTGTCCTTAGATATTAATAACATTTTGTAAGCATTCGTTAATTAATATGAATATGGAAATCTAACTAGGTTTAAGTACAGCAACTTGGTAATTAACCTCTCAATAAACCTAGCCGTTAATATACTAATTGATTCATAGATTTAGATTTCTAATTCTATAATTCTCTTGAGACAATAATGCAGTAAATAGAGTTGAGACAGTATTAATAATTAGTGAACAAAATATAGATAATATTAATAATAAATCAGGTATGTAAGTTAAAGTTCTTAGCACGACAAAGCCGTCTGAAAGCTTGGTCGTTACCCAAGGACGTGACACAATCGGGCGAGATTATAAACGGAGTCCAAACGTTAATACATGCAGTTTTATGGCAAGCGCGTGCGCCGCTTATGATGGAGGGTTTGGCGCCATTTTCATAGCATTTCATTGTTCATAGAAATGTGGCGCCGAGCGCGGCCGCGACCGTGCGGTCACTTGTTCACGAGTCATTTTATGATCAGTCGTTTCTGAGATCTCTTACTTGAATGCGAATACACCGAGATATCCTCCACCTTACTTTATACTAATTTCACCGACCAGCCGATTGTTTACGTGCTCCGAATTCTACTTCTGAATATTCTTAAATATGACAGCCTTTCGGCACTTATTCTTTGTAGGAACCAAATCGACTGAATCAATAAACATCGCATTACTCAATCGTATTTACGGTAAGTGCACCATCCGATCAGGAAGAGCTGACTCATGAGCCATTTTTGAATGTGAATTAGGTCGCATCGAGATTTAAGTAGATGAGGTAACATGTTTTTAAAATATTCCAGAGGAAATGTAAAAATGTACGCGGCTACCTGGATTATATAAACGTTAAGGGAGCCTGGGAGTTTTGATAACGCCGTGTCAAATTAAACTTGAAACATTAGATGTAAAGTAAGACAGAACGATGGCGTGTATGTTTATTGAACTATGTAAGTGCGAAAGGCCGATGAGTGGAATTTATAAACATTGAAACAATGTGCCTTGAATACTACACGCTTAGTGTATCGAGCGCCGCCGATGACAGATTTATCCTTAAAACTTACCGAACGGTATCTCGAGCAGCGATTGAATTGTACGTTCTGAGAATTGATGGCTTTACAATGTTACGTACAATGCCGATACGTTTTTTTAACGATGTTAGTAAAAGTCGATGATGGTACTAGAATACTCAATTCAGATGTAACTGAATCACTCGCATGTATTTGCGTTGTGTGTATTAGAAAGTGTACAACAAATGCCAATACGATTAATAGGCTGAGAACCCAATAAGAAGCTATCACCAAGTCGCTACATAGGTATGTTTAATTTTAAAACTGAATCACATGCGTCCGAGCCTTTACTCAATACACGACTTGACAATGTTATTTAAATAAAAAGGATTAAACACAAGCGTGACTTATAAAGACTAACAAATAGGTCACAATGTCTCAGGAGATTTATACTCGTAGCTGCGACAGAAGGTTCTAGGCGGTCACACGATCAGATTCCAATAGATAACGACTATAATAGGATTAATTTCTGACATTTAATGTAGCATAATATAAATTCACGACCGTAATCCCTTTGGAGATGATCGATTTAATATCCTGGAGAACTTCGATACTATTTCATGAGTGCAGTCACGCACATTTAGGTATTTACTGAGAATGTGTAGGGGACGACAAAATGTAGATGTGTATTGTAGGCCAGCTACTTTTGTTAGTTTTTTTTTGTTTGGTATAGCGGCAAACGTGCAGGCGTATCGCTTGATGGTATCGATGTATAATAGGCATCATCGCCCATAGACGCTAGCAATACTAACCTTAAAGTTGTAGAGGAGAGATAATATAAGTTAGGGATTGAGGATTTGGTAATTGAAGTATATGGGTTTCCTGTAACTTTACTCTCACTCATGAGAAACAGACATCTATTGTTGTTTTACAACGGTATCCGGTAAATTATTTGAGTTCTCCTACAAAACTTACAATTTACAGTGCTATTATTAGCGAACAAATTCCTAAGGCTATTTGTAGAGACGCAAAGAAGTCCTAAATACTTGTACCTAATTAATTACTAGATAAATTTCAACTAGTTAATAATTTCAAAATCATAGTCAGATATTGGAATTCTTGATGCCAATATTTAGTAGTTACGGAAGATAAGTATCTTGGTATTTAATTCCTCGTTTAGTGGCCAATGGTTGCAATTTCGTCGGCGTTTCGCATTAAGAAATGCATTGACGCTTAAATCGTGAACTATCTTACCAAAATATCAGTCGCTCTATCTAGTGTTCGGTCGATAAGCATATTTCTTGTTACATGTTTAAGTAGATAAACATTAAGCTCGCGGTTGCAGCCGGTCTAGCGTCAATTGTCTCGAAGTTGCAACACAGTTGCTACTTTACTTAATGGAGTTGTAAGTAACCTACTGACTGATCGTTTTCCCAACATCATAATCATTTACACAAATATAACGACGTTTTTGTTTATCCCCTTCACATTTAACCCAATGATCAGATCAGTAAACATGCGAATATAATCAAAGCGATAAATTCTTGTGCATCTTCGTAATAATCAATGCTGGACAATTAATTTTCATGCTAATCAATTGATACTTGCAATTACAGAGTTGACCCTTGCCCTGGGATACTAATACAAGCGTCTTTTGAAATAGGCGCGTTCAACACGAAAAGACAATTTATCTATGCAAGAAAATTAATTGATTAATACTCAATGAGATATGAAGAGGTTGTTCACACCAAGTATAATCATTTTGAAGGATTAGCTTTGTCCTAATCGAAATTGCCGCATCAGTCGAACACCTAGACATGATAGAAAAATGAGACATTTAGATTATTTAACCTGATTTAACACATAAAAGAACATCGTGTGATTTTTTGTTATTTTCATACAATATTTGATCAATAGATTTATAAAAGATGTAGCATCTAACCATGGATTTCCTCATAAAATCCAGATTTTAATTTTTATGTTAACGTGATCGAAATGTTACCGCGTTTAGCACTCTGATTGGGTGGTTTACTTGGAGCTGGCCAATCAGAGCGCGGAACGTCATAAATGTGTCGATCGCCTTAACGTAAAGCAAACTCGCTTTAGGCCCTCTGAGCATTTATGTTTTCATAAATCGAGTCCTTATCACTCGAATGCAACTACTGATATAATCGTATTAAGTACCAATTAAGAAGTATTCTATTATGTATTTATTATGTCTATTACCGTCCACGGGATCACATCGGAACATTCTGACGTCAAGAATAAAATGCATTAGTAGTTGTTAGTTGTACACAGTCGCTATCTTGTATCAAAACTTGGCACATATTATTGAAGTTACCATTTTATTTATAGACTAAAGTTATTTTAAGTTGATTAAAAGAAGGGTTTTAAGTATATAATAATATGTCTAAAACAAAAACATTCGTTAATTAAAGTCAGACTCATCTAAGTACATCGAATGGATCTCCTCATTTTCTTTTAATGTAAACAACACCTTATTAGGAAGGTAGTAAGTATCACAATAGTGACGACGTTTGTGTACAACGCACATAATTGCCCACATGAGGTGATGAGCAAGTACCTATGTGGGTAAGACGTAAATAAATACTAAAATCATAGTCATATAAAATTATTTCTTGTCGCTGAAGAATTTATTGAAGTAATTGTTAATTTATTAGTTGTGGATTCTTCATAGAGAGATATTTAATAATAGTTGTTTGGAGTGGAGGTCTTGAATGGCCTTGGACGGTCCTGGATGGCCGTGGATCACTGGTATGCCACGGCTCATGGGCGCGGTGGCGCCGAGATACCGACAGGCCGAGGATCGCAGCCACATGGCACAACGGATGCCATTGAGCTGTACCCACACACCGGCACTATTATTGTAATGTGTTTGAACTACGGTGTCAAGATCAAGGTTGATCGTGTTGGCGATCTCATTTAATACACGCACTACAATATTGAGGTAGCTGTGATTCGATCTCGAAGTGTTCTTGTTTTGACGTTCAAAAGTGCCTATTGTGGTAAAAGTGGTTATTAAAAAATGATTTAAAAATAGATTTTTAAATCATTTTTTAATGGTTTGGTTTAAGGGACGCAAAATATTAAAATAAGACCCAACTAACAATCTTGTGACTTTTACATGTATAAAAATTAATCAATTTAATTAACGATTTTATTAAGAGTACTTAGATTTCTACTTTAGTTAGGTATAAGTTTGAATAACAAAATACGCAATTAAATGAAAGTTCATTTTAAATAATTGTTACATACTTTGTTACATTTATTTATAATTAGCTTCTGAATGAACAATACATCTGTACGAGAGTCATCCTGAGCCATAACAAAGTCCATTGTTTAGTTTGATATGACCCGGCGGTGTTTTTAATCTTGCCTGACCTTTGTCTATGCTTGTCTCACATTTGCGTACCTACGCAATGATTCAATGATTTATTAAATCATTCGTCTGTATGGGCGGTGTTAGGGTTACCAGTTTAAAAATATTTTTGCAGTGTTTAGTAACTTTGGGACTTTTAGTACTTGGTCTATGAAAGTTTTTATTAATTTTAGTGCTTGTTTCATGTATCATATTTGCCATATTGAATGACACAAAACTTTTTAATCATATATCGTCAAAAATATACAAAAAAAGCTAGGCGTTTTCCTTATAAACCAACATATAACATAAGTATTTGAAGAAAACTGCGAACGGATTTTCCACTGCCTCTTAAAATCGCGGACATAAAAAATTCTTAAGATACGAAGTGGAAAACAATTAAAAAATGTAGATCAACAAATTCCCGCGCGATTCCTAGAAACTGGGAAACCCCTTTAGTATGGCAGCTGGCAACATTAATTGTGTTCATTAATTCATTCATTTATTAACATGTGGAATATTTTGACGGTAAATCATAATATAGTCTGTAGCGTCATGACCTTGGCAATGAAAGGTCATGGTCAAATGACTAAGAGGTATCCTTCTTAACCGTTTTATTTCTTTCCGACAATATCCATACAAAAAGGAGGGCTCAGTATTTATGAAAAGGCTCTCTTTGATAAATGATGTGTCGAACGGTTCCATTATAAATAAGTATGGAATGCGGTATCCTTATATGACCTTTTGCTTATAATAGGAGAAATATGCGTTATTTATGTAAGTGTGGCTTTGGGAAAACCTTACAATATTAGTCTGTAATTGTATTGTCCAATTGTTGGGTGAAAGCTACTTTTATCTTGAAAATGAATCGAGTTTCAAGGCAGGTGATAAACTTAAAATGTTGAATTCCATGGGGGACAATAAACATGTAGGCCACGCTAGCAGAGGATTTGCCCTCAACTTGTTACTTTTTAAGTGATTAGAATTAAATGCTTTCTCTGGTTCTTGGTGAGAGGGAGAGTTAGACATTATCACGCTTGGCCCACGACTCTCAAAAGTAACATTTAGGAAGTCAATGACTTAAAATCAAATTGTAATTATTTATTATAACTTCAAAGTTAATTAATGAATCTAAGTTCTTACCTAAAAAGTTGTCTTTTCTTTCACAGTATTTCAATGAAAAAGTTTTGTCAAGTATCTATAACATATACTCTTTTAACTAAGCAAGGATGACGTATCATTCGAAATTTGAACAAAATAATACACTTATACAGAAAATCGGCATCTCAACTTTAGTTTAGGCTGTGCAAATAAATAAAGTGACTTAGTCAGTCAGAACAAGTGTTGGTCCATTCTAAAATAAACACGTTAATGAAGACGAATGAGTTGGATGGACCACGTGTGGTCATTAGCTTTAGGAGACTTGCTCAACAAACACTGCACATAATTAATGTTTATTAATTATTTACATTTTAGCTTCCATACAGGGACTTTCTGTAGAACGTAGTTTGTATTAACATCTATATACTTTAAGTATTTGCCATCGTTTGTGTGTTATGCAAAGTTTCAAACAGTTTGTTTTCAATTAAACATTTCAATGTTTAGTTTATTATTGTTTGTGGAACGTAAGTGCGATTGTGTTTATGGATAAAGACGGAGTTAATAAAGAGGTTGAAGAAAATAGTTGGTAATGTATACATAAATGAGGTTGTAGTTTTAATTGTGTCGAATTTATAAATAATTATTTAGAATACAGAGCGCGTTTAGTACATGTTAATGTTGTTAATCAGACAAGTATTTTATGGATTTTTTTGAGAAGAAAACCAAAGATAACATTCTATTTTAAATACTAGATAATTTTAAAATTGGAACTGTTTTGTAAGAAATATGTATTTCAAAAACATTCAAACAATTCTAGTCTTGTCTATAAATTAAATACTAATGTATTTATTTGCCCTAGTTGCGTTATTTATAAAAGATAAATGAACAGTGAATTATGTTTCGATCATAAATTGTTTGTTTTAACAAAATCTGCTATTACAGAATAAACAATAAAACGCAAGCTTAGCTGGATATTCCAACTATCCGTCATATTCCAATAACGACCATCTATCGTAAACAATTAGTTGTTTATATTGCAACACTAATAATAGTCGTGTTCAATGAGTTGCCATAAAAATAAATTGATTTATTATTCCTAATGTGACGTTACGTTATAATGGATGTAGATTTTCTATTTTAATCTGTGTTGGATTGTTTGTGTGTATAATTAATTACTTATAATTATTTTCATCTTAGTTACAGCGATGTTTTATTTCCTTCATATTGGTTTTCACGTATTTAATTCTTTTATTAATTTTTTTCTAATGTAAAGTGTAAAAAAGTGTAGTCATTTTTGAGTCAGGGGTTAGAGAACCGTAAAAAGTGTTTTGTTCGTTACCTCGATTGAGCTGTTAAATTTTGATAGTTTCTAAATATCGATAGATAGGGGAATGTCTATCCTGTCTCTTGCCAAGGTTTGAAACTTGCAATTCCTTTGGAGTTCCGGGTGTCAACTGCCGTGGTTGAGAAAGTACCATCAGGGGATCAGTCTGCTTTTTTGCCTGCGTTTTCACTAAAATGTTATTTTTATCGATCAAGTGTGTATTTAATGTGACTCTACAATATTAAGTAAATATATATTCACCAAGGTGCTAGGTACTTACAACTTATTAAACATTTTCTATGTTTTATCAAATCTCCCAAAGTTTTATAATTTATCAAATAAAAATAAAGCGTTTTTGGAACAAATTTAAGGCATTTATGATTTTCATTTATCAATGTCGTTGTAGCTATAAGTTTGTCTTATGGCTGTTGAAACACACTGACACTAAAATTAATAGTTTTTCGCAAACGTCTGAGGAAAATCGTAGTACGTAGTACATTCGTGTTTTCAAGCGTAAATTTTTAGTGTTCTAACACGAAAATGTATATTAATTGGTTCTCTGAACACCAAACGATATGTTCTTATTTTTTATTCCTAGTTTTTGTTTGTTTTTTTTTTTTAATTTTCATGATAAAAATACGACAATATTTTATCTGTTTGAACTTTTTACACCAATGAGCCTTTTAGATTAGTTGGAAAGTTTTTAGTTTTTTGGTATAACCTGATTCATGTTATATTATTACTAATATAAAAACAAAACATTGGTGTCTTTTCAATCGAGACTTTATTGTTTAGTAATAAAGTATTATTTAAAAAGTTTTTTAGTAATAAAGTATTATTTATTAGATGTTTAATTCAGATGTTGATTCTTACATTAGATGGCTGTAAATGTTCATCAATTGTTCTCAGAGCAAGGATTGGAGCTGTTGTTATAACGCAGTTTAGAAACAATTTTTTTTATAATTTTTTACTGGTCCAGACATAGATTTACTCACTTACAATATTTATTTGTACCTCTCTAAAGAGTTCTAAATTCTGATTATTATATTCATAGTGACTATAAACGTCTAGAAGAATTAGCTTTTATGGTGGCATAGAACCAAAAGTCCCTATCCAATAACAACACTAAGTAAGTAATTTATTTTTAAATTTAGTAATGTGCAGGTATTTTGCTACTGTCATGCTTAGTGGTAACTCAAAGTCAAAAAGTCAAAAACTCAAAAAGTCAAAAAGTCAAAAAGTCAAAAAGTCAAAAAGTCAAAAAGTCAAAAAGTCAAAAAGTCAAAAAGTCAAAAAGTCAAAAAGTCAAAAAGTCAAAAAGTCAAAAAGTCAAAAAGTCAAAAAGTCAAAAAGTCAAAAAGTCAAAAAGTCAAAAAGTCAAAAAGTCAAAAAAGCAAAAAGTCAAAAAGTCAAAAAGTCAAAAAGTCAAAAAGTCAAAAAGTCAAAAAGTCAAAAATTCAAAAAGTTAAAATCACTTATTTCAATTACTACTTCAAAAGTTAAAACTACTACTTAAAAAGTTAGGTTTAAGTACTACTACGGATCACACCTACTTATAAGCAACCTATTCACTCTTGCCTATAAAAATCCACGAATAATATCATAACACTATTTGCCTGTTTTATTTTATCATCGGCAAATTAATCAAAAGGCAAAAGGTACAAAGTACTGTTAGAAAATCACGACAATACGTTGCGATGTGCATGTCCTCACGTATTAGCCTACTTTATCAGTTCATTGTACCACACTTGTGTCTGCTGTGCCATTTAGAACTTAAATAACGATGATCTTATAGGTAGCCTTCCAATCGGCCTTCGGAGGTGAGAGTTTCAAAGTAGTAATAGTATTTTTATGCATTAGGACGAGAAATGAGCAGTCAGATTATTTGAGACAATACTAGCCGTGTTAAGGGAATTGGTGATTGGGGAAGGGCTTGAAGGGACTGCCGTCCCATACCCCAAACCCAATCTACAAATAAGGATTAACCTCATTCGCAGCGCCTTTTTTTTTGTCAGGGGAAAATCATCAAATGATTTCTCCCGCCCAGAGTTAGACGAGAAAGAGAGAGTGTCAGACTCTTACTGGCTAAAAACCCCCCCGTTCCATCGCCTGCTGAGGCCGCGGTGACTCATTGTCATTCCTAGCGCCTCTAGGGTTGTTTTAGTTTTTTTTCTATATACTATGTATAGATAGCTTCATAGCATGGCTCTCTCACACTTAAAATGATTTAGGTAGTGTTTACATAAACATTACTAATAGTACGCGTATCACTGTAAACGCTGATGTTTTACTGTTTTTCTATAGGACTGTGACCTACTCCCATTTAAACACCATTAGCGAAGTAGATTATTGTTTTGGTAATGATAGATGTTCTGTTTCGGTTTTTGTTGTAGGTACGTTTTGTTGTTAAGTGTAATACCAGAGCTAAAAAAATTGCTTTTGTTTTACCCAACTTGGTGGCAATGGTCTCAGATTCTTGCCTTATATAAGTATGACAATAGTTTGTGAGGTCGTGGTATCACTGTTTGTACTTCTTCTTCTTCCATTAGGGCGTTACGGTGGCATTCTGGCAAGTAATCGGCACCGGCCAAACGTAGGACCAGAGGAGAGCATTTTTCTAGATTTCTTTTGTGGATTGTGGAGGGCTGGGGTAGGCGAAATATGTAGCTCCATGTAACCACACTCACACGTCGAAAATTTTGGTTATTTCACGTATTTAGGTACTCCCAGGGTTGCGGGGTAAGCGCAATGAGGCACCGCGACCTCGGTCCAGAGCAGGAGAAGGAACGGGGGAGTTTTTAGTCAGTAAGAGTCTGACACTCTCACTCGCCTTACCCTGGAAAGGAAAGCGGAAGATGTCATTAGATGATTTTCCCCTGACAAAGAAAAGGTACTCTGTTAGATTGTGGTATCACTTCGATCGAGCAGGACCGTTCGTGCCGATGGATTGTGTTGTCAACAGGATTGTTTGTTGCTTGGATGACTGTGAACGAAAATTTTTCAACCCTTACCTGATAATTATAACTTCTTAGTTACTCATAAGACTAATGGTTTAACTAGTAATGTATCGTTCGGGGAATAACATAACAATGTAACATTATCGAAAGAAGGAAAGGTTCCTGACGTAAGAATTATATTTATTAAACATCATTCAAGCGAATAAGGATAAAAATAACAATTTTTATCGTGTTTTTATTGCAAGAAAATATTTTAATGTCGTCCTGCCGTCTACATTGTACAATGATAATAATGTATTACAAATTTAAATATAGGTAGTTTTGTTGTGAAGACTTCAGGTCTGTGTTGACAGGAAACTAGGGGCAAACACGACTACTAGGATTCAATTAGACCCTATTTATTTTATTTTTTGTCAGGGGAAAGTCATGAAATGATAAAAAGTGTCAGTCTGTCGCCTAGTCCTCTTAATGAACCTATTTGCGCGTTCCAAAGTGAAGATTCCAATGGAGAAGAACGAGTATGAGACTCCATGGTTAATCTTTTTAAATCAGTTTAAAATATAGATTATTTGGTACATAATTAAGGTGGTTCGTATACCTACGTGAGAATAGTGCAACACTAATATTTATTCAAGGAAACAGAAAAAGAGAGATCGGTGTTATTAACTTAACTTACAGTCCTAACCGTCACATCACTTCTTGGCGGCCGCTCCTACCTTGGATTTCATGGTACCACGCACCTTCTTCATCCTGTTCTTGCGTTCCTTACGCTGCTTGCGTGTGGGCCGCTTCTTTTCGTAAAGGCCGTGTCGGGCCAGTCTGTGCTTAGGCTCGAACTTCTTAGCCAGGTCCAGGGTATCGTAGATGAGAGCAAAGCCAGTGGACTTGCCACCACCAAAGTTCGTCTTGAAGCCGAATACGAACACAACATCGGGTGTCACCTTGTACATCTAGGTGTTGTTTATATAATAATCCTAATTTGCACTTAGTAGGAGCAATCCAATCTGAAGATTTTGTTCCGAAAAGTGACGGCCGAATATTTCGCACAAGGAAAATCTCACGGGAATTCCTTTCGCTTTACAAAGTAGGACTGTTAGTGCTATGAATGGGGATCACGATTTTGACAGATGGTATCAATGACTCGTTAACATATGGTTCTCGTAATTAATGATGCACGGTAGGTGTATTTTTTATAACTTGTATATTCAGAGCGAATCGTGCGGCCGCGGCCTTGCGCTGCCGATATTCCGATGATAGATACGCCAGTCATTCGCCAATCAGCACTCGTCCGCCTCATTTCTAATTAATTCCATCAACGAGACCATCGCCCGCCATTGCACTGCACCTCATAATTCGAATGTTTATAGAGTGCGAAAGAAACTGCATGCTCCCTTAAATCTGGTTTTTAAGTGAAATGTTCGAATAAGTGCCCAGTTTGTATTTTGATAAAGTTATGATATATTAAAATATTTGATCCTAAAAGTAACTACAAACAGTCTTGTCGCTAGTGTTTGAGTGGCCCGTTTGAGTGTATATACAGTTAAAAGAACAAACAATTTTATGGGTGCTTAACTTAAAACGTGACGGAGAAAATGTAAAGAGGTGTCTGTTTCCGATATTTGTTTACATCTTATTATCTGTGAGTGCGAGTTAACGAGCGATTAACTGGCCGCGCAAGCTGCTAGCCAGGAAGCAATTGACATCGTGAAACAGTAGTCATTCTTAATGGCGCCATTATCGCTGGGTATTAATTTCGCTGGAGATAACGCATGTATTGATTCGTTTATTCTATTTATATGTTGTAAGTGCAGATAGAGAGAAATGCAAAACACGAGACTGTCTGTGGCGGCGACAGCGCGAGCAAGGCTGTAGGCGTAAAATGCAAATCGCGAGCGTTTCACCGCAGGACAATGCGGCCGGAGTGTTGCGCGTCTTGTAAACAGCGCGGACGTGGTTTGTTGTTCTACTTTTTTGGGTAAACGGTTGTCCGTAAACGGAGGCGCATAGGCCGCCGCAGAAATACTGCGGTCAGTACAATGGCTCGTTCGCCGCCGCCGTACAAGGGAGGCACGGGCGTGAACGCACCCATACTCCTTGTACAATGTTTCCCAAACGCGTATACTTCAGCTGTTTTACTTTTACTTATTAAATCTTTTATTTTTTATTAAGTAAATCGACGATAAGTAGTTGTAATGCATAAACTTTGAACAAATATCTGTTATGCATTCGGATGTGGGGCAGTTCGAGACGCATGCATTAATTTTCGCAATTCGAGTAACTGATGTAGGTAAGAACGAAGCATCCGCCTCGTCGAAACATTCACATCAAGATGCATCCAGAGCGCCGCCGAGGCGAAATTATATTTTATGGAAATGGATGTTGAATCGAAGCCAACGCTCGTTGCATTCTTACAGCGCGACAGTTATGCGGGCGTGTGTGCGGCTCCAACAGCACGCCGGCGTGCCTATCGAAAACAATAAGACCGCGCCTTGTGCCATAAACATTCTTTGCCACAATCATTACGAATATAACCTATAAATTAGCACAAAGCCGACTGCGAACAACTCGTTCGCCGTCGCGGGAATTTGCAATGAGGTTCGTGCGCCCAAGAGCACTGTCAGCCTCGGTGGAATATCCTCGGCGAGCGCGCCTGCCGCCATGTCGGCCGTAGCCCGTAGCACGCTCTAATGGACGAGTACTCTGTAGCGAACTTTTCCCGCACCACTCCTTGCCATTTCCCCATTACCTTTACGAACTATAGTATTATCAATTCGTCATTCAATTGCGCTGCATACAATTATTGTAATGGCTGCAGATGCATTTGTATTTTGCGATATATAATGTTATTCAACTTTAGGCCAAAAATAATTGCTATCATTGTGATTAAAAACAACATTCAATGATTAGGTGTATCAAGAAATAATTAATAAGCTGTGTTATTTTTATTCACGTAAGATATCACAGGTCTCTCGATAAGAAAATCGCGCAAGTTGTAACAATAGCGTGTGTTATCTACGTGTTTGTGTGACAAACATTTAGGTTAATGGTTAATTAGGTCGAGTGCTTAGCGTTAGATTGAGAAGTAGTATCGACTCTGTGAGATTAACGTAGGTATGGGTAACGATATGAATCAGTGTGGAGTTGTAGGACGCGAAATAATGAAGACTAGAGTTTCTGGCATAGTTACAAGTAGTGACAGGTACGTGGTTTAGATGTCGAGGTGACATGAGCGACGGTGTTTTCAGTGGAGCGTCGTGCGGCGTGACGTCACTAGACGCGTCGTCATTTTGTTCAGAATAGTTCCGGCGGCGGGCGAGGCGCGCGGTGCGACCCCACACGGTAAACGAAGTTTTTCAGCGTAGTCGAGGTCAAGGTATCAGCGGCCGCGGCTGAATGTTCAATGTTCGCTCATGTTCCTTGTAAATTATTTAACAAGCACTCGATAAATCGTATTTGATGAATGATTTGCCCGTGTACCTGTCATATCGTAATGCATAATAAATCGACCGGCCGACACTTGATATGTGTTCTATAGGAACCGAATTACACTTGCATATGCAAAGTATTTGTATAATTTATCTAATCGGCTCTTAAACGTCACATAAATATGCACGGCGCTTGCTTAGGAAGTACGAAACATGGAGCTGTCTTAAGGTGTCTTATATAGGCACGATGGATTGTGCAATCCTTGCCTGAACTGCTTGTGTACAAAACTATCGGCGGTGCCATGTTGTCAGCGCAATGACTGATCCGTCTGCTGGTGACGGAACGCGCCAGTTACGCCACACTGGGTGCCTGGACATTTACCATTATTTCCACATTATCATTGTGCAAAGCATTCATTTAAATAACGATGTTAAAAATGTTGTATTTTTCAAAAGAATTTTCATCCTAGACAGTCATCATAAAAATATAAAACGGTGTAACGAGTGATGTATCTCACATCAAAAATATAAAAGATGTTTGTGATCGTCCGTACCTACGCTTGTTCAAAAACATGTTAATTAATGACGGATAATGGTACAGAAGTCTGGATGCGAGTTGCGGCGGCTCGCTCGTCCGCAGTGATAACTGGCAGCCGGCGCACAATTTCAATCGTTTATGTGATATGACATCGGATGGGTTTTATATCTGGCCCCTTTGAACGGATTTAGTGGCGTCGTGCGCTCCTGTGCGGCTGCCGGCGGTAGCGTCGTCTGCGCGGCTCAACGGCGCCGATTACATCACACTATTGGAAAACTCGTCGCGACGCAGAGGACTAAACGTTAGGCCGCGACCAGACTAGAAATGAAGCGAGCTGCTAGTCGTAGCACGTCGCCACTTCGAGGTTGCTTTTAAAAGTTTAAATTTACGCTAAACGACATTAATGAGTGGTATCAGTTGAAACGCTACGTGTCGCTCTGTTCGCGTTGCGCCGCTAGTGTGCGCTATGCAAGCGCATAAATATTCATACCCGCACAGGCGCGACGAGTGAGCCAAGCTTGGCCGAGTCAAAGGTGTCCGGCGACGATCGCACACTCTCTACTAGGGCTGGCCACTAGCCGCATTCTTTGCAGCTCCATTATCATTACTCAAGTTCACCAAGGACTACATTGACAAAAACATGCTAATTCCGATTTAAATTAAATTTCAGCGTTTTTCAGAAGAAAAAATATGTTTATATAATACTCCTACAAACTTGATTGACTCTATGATTACTTGTTTGTTGAGTTTCAAAAATTATTTCTTTAGTAACATGTTCTACATTTATAAATCTTAATAGTGTTTCAAAAGCCAATCGATTACAACAGTAATGAACAAATAAAGTATGATAGACAGAAACGTCGCCAGTTGTCGTACTATGCCGCTAGCGCTGGTATTTGTCACTGTTAATGCATTTTAATGGGCGGCAGCATATTTTACTGCATTTATTCATACTCCATGCTCAGATATAACACGTTCGTAATATTCTAACTAATAATATAAATACCGAAGTGGAATGTTTGCTAATCGATTTCACAAACGGTAAAGCTTGTAATGATTTGGTACATGTTTTGTTAAACAGAATACGTTTATGTGCTTTTGGGCCATATTTCAGACGGGCGGGCGGTTGTTAGTTATTTCGGAATGATGAATTTCAGAGTTGGAAATAAATAATAATATGGAATGGAGCGGGTAGTGTGACATTAACGAAGCAGCAGGTAACGTGCAGGAGGCGGTTGATACAGTAACTGGTGGCTCGCGCGATAAACATGTCGTCAGCCCTATGTATCGGCGGCACATTCCCTCGGCCGCGCGCCATCTCTCCGTGCGCGCTACTCTTTGTTGTGCTTGCAAATATCCTAGAGCTACTCATCGCCGCCTTGGCGCCATTTGCAAATAAATTTAGGGCTGTCTCGGATATGTAATGAATTTACAGAGTGAATTATGAACGGCGCCGGAGCGTGCCAGATCACAATCTGGCTGCGTAAGCTTATAGTCGCGTAAACAGGTCCCCTCATCACAATGTTTACTGGACACTATATACTTGTTTATCATGTCATTCCCCTGTCCACTACCAATGATCAGATAACAAGATTTATTAGTCTAACTCGGTGTACGATATTAACCACACAACCATACGTAATGCGCCTAAACACAGCTACAACGTGTACCGATACAATTATGCCATTATTGATATTATGTTACAATGTGACATTTACATGTTTATTAAGACTAGGACCACTTATTCTATTAAAGTAATTACTTCTAAAGACAGGTAGTTATTGAAAATTGACATTTCAAATTTATGGAAAAATATTGGAAAATGTTAAGTGTTTATGTTGTTAGCTGTGATAGAGGTATTGTGTATCATGTTAATGTAACTTCGGTATTAATTAGTTGAATATTAATACCTACCTGTGGCAGATGTCCTTTGGCCTTTGTAGAACAGAGCTAGTTATAGATGTAACTTCATTTAATTTAATCAATTTATCGATTTCAAAATGTTTTTCTTAATTGCTTCTAAAATTATCTCAACAGGCTAATATAAACTAACAGGTAAAATAATAGGATACTGAACATTAAGTTTTTACACATTATTCTCAAATAATTTATAAGGGTCTAAATAAAAATCACAAAAACACTACGCAATCCATTCCTTTTACAAAAATAAACCAAAAGAAAAAAAAAAACATATGACAGAACGATAATTCGAAAAAAAAAGTTTTTACTTTATTAAAATTAAAAATCACAAACATTTAAAATAGTTTCTTATTGATTTCAATCTTGTTTTAAAATGACGATCCATTGAACTTTATCTTATTACCCTAGTTACTTGCGGCGCACAATTCCCAAGAACTTGGAACATAAAATCTGAACTTATATCGTATTAAAGTTAAGTAGACTGTAATAACGCGTAATGTATGTTGAGCTCTAGTAGCGGCAGCATAATAAATGTAACAACACAATACGTGCTCGATGCATATGGGTTTACGAGCGTTTAACGAGCGTCCATCGGCAAATCGGATACCAATCAAAGTGTCGCTCGAAATGTCAGTGCTCTCTCTATTTCAGTCCATAGCAGACCCAACAAGAAAGCTATGCAAAACGCAAATTCTAAAGTCGCCGTCTAGACGCCCGCGCCGATCCTGTTACGATTGAATAACATTTGATCCAATCAACCCGAATCGAGGGGTCGGGGAGGTCTTGCGCACAGGCCCGGCGACGTCGACGCACTCGCATTCAATTGATCCCGCAACGGCTTTTATGATCAGCGTCGCGAAAAGAAAGTACCAGATCTATACTTTTTTTTACGTTATAAAGCTGAAAAGTTTGTTTGTTTGTTTGAACGCGATAAACTCCGGAACTAATTGGTCGAAAAGAGTAATTCTTTTTGTGACCGTCCATTTATCGAGGAGAACTTTAGGCTATAAAACGTCACGTTACGATCTGTAGGGACCGAGAAGTGAGTGAAACCAAGAGTAGCTTTGTATTTTTGTATTCATATTTGTTAAATAAAACTTCCAGTTAAAACATAAATTATGTTAACATTTGATATTAGTTATGGCGGCTACTTCATTTTAAATGTTGAAGTTTATTGTTAATATGGAGTGGGTACTTCTACCTAGGTCTGTATTCCTGTATAATAGATGGAAACACCTTTCACCGTTTAGACGAAAAGTCATTCCATCGAATTGATTTCGACCATAATATTTAAGTGGCCCATTGCGTTTGTAGCGTTGTTCTAAGTATGCCAATCGCCACATAACCTTTTGAACCAGTTCCAAACTAATATACAACTTAAAACATTAAAATCCGACCAGTATCATAAGTATAAGGGAATTGAAAGATCAACTTACAATTGCTTCCTTTTGTTTTAGCTCCGGACATCGTCCAAGAAGACAGTCCAGTTGTGATAACGACTGAAGAAGATGAAAAAAATATGAAATGTGAGTATTTTGGCCAACTTTTTTAAAGATGCGGGTATGACACAGATATAATTCTTACTTAACTGATTTAGGTAAGAATAAAAACATAAGGATGATAATTATTACACGGTTGGATCGACGGCTGGGCAACTAGCTGCCGTGCGATGTGACGTGAGTTCTATTCCTGCACAGGACAACTGTTTGTAGGATCCGCTAACTGTTGTTACGGGTCTGGGTATCATGTGTATGTTTTTAAACGCACCTATAACTCAGGAAAATTCCTTGTATGGGGCAACCTAGTTTTGTTTCATATAAAAATAATTTTCTTTTTTTCCCCAAGATTTCGCATCATTTCTAACGGGCCGGTCTCCGCTGTGTGTGCGGCGTGATGATATGTCAGGGGTGCCTGTTGCGCACGGAGTGGCTACAGCTCGGTTCACGTTCCGGAGACGTCACCTCTACTGGTCCGTCCTCCTCAGTCCCTCCATACAGGCCCAGCCTCGAGCACTCGCCTTCCTCGATAAAGAGGGCCGTGTGCTACTGGAACAATCACTGAAGAAAATACCCGGTATCCACGCGACGTACGAAGAAAAAACAGATAAGGTAATTTCGTCGAATTCGCTTACCTTGGGCATATCAATACTTCCACGAAATGTTGAAGTAGGCACTCGTTGTACGCTTGTTATTGTTTTTGAAAGGTGAAATGTATTGTTTACAGCTTTGTGGTGTCTGGCGTCGAGTGCCGCGACAATACAAGACTTTACTAAGAGATGGAGACCTGCACGTGGCCCTGTTGTGGGGCGACGCGCGGAACAACTCTATCGATAGCGCTCTCAGCGGCAGAATCGACAGGTAGGTAAGGATTAGGAATTTTAAGTGAACACCAACTTTGTACATGCCGCCAACAGCAATTATAAATTAATCACTGGTCACCTTCCGAATCGATGCAATAAATATTATGGCACTAATTATTCCTGGGAATCTATGAATGGCAGCACTGTTTGCCTTGGATTGTAAATTTAATTAACCGCATGATTTACAACGGAAAACTAGATTTGCCATTACATGTAATTCTGGGAAAAAACCTAGACACACATGTTTTTATAACGGTCATAATGTTGTTAGTGGAAACTCAATTGATTCGTACTATTAATTGCTTTAGCACTATCGCGATATCTACGATACAGGCCGGCCACTAGTGCCGTGTGATATTGAGAAATATAATGATCAAGATTAGATTGGTTTCTGGGAAAACTGATGTTAATTGTTTTGACCTTTTAAATTATCATGCTTACTTGTTTAGGAATATTACCTTGTGCAAATGTTACACGTTTTCATTAATGTTTAGTTTTGGAAATGAGGGTAAAGTAAGGTACAAATTAAATGCATTTTTTTTTGTAGGTATCCTGCATTGTCCTCTGAAATGTTCACGACGCTTTTGGAACCAGAACACCCTCCCACTTCGATTGGTCAAGGGGCATGTCGGGACTACCCCGCTTTGGAATACGAAGACGGCTGGTGGGGAGGCACTGCAGTGATCACGGCTGTGGCTGGAGCCACTCCTAGCCTGTACCTCGCTCTGGTCTTCAATGGAGTTTTCCCAAAAACAGCAGTCACTTCACACCTTGTTAGAGTGATCCTCACCCTCCCGGAAAAGAATCAGACCATAATTGATCAGGTATATTCATATTTATTATCTTTTGTTTACGATGTGACCAAATTATTCAATAACACAATCCACTGCCTACTGTTAATGAGGGCTTTAAGTGGCTAATTACTGCCAATAAACGTAAATTGAGATGAACGCATTAAGAGCTCAAGAAATACTGTGAATGTTCGCTTACAAGTACATAATTATACGTCTTGTCTCGAGAATTCGATTTTTTGTTCGTTTTAAAACATTTTCGGAAGCGCTTATGTAAAATGTTTACAAAACAGTTGAAGAACTACGAGCAAGCGTCTGAATCGCTCACGTCGCGACGTTCAGTATATGTCACCTTGTGATAAGTGGTTTCATTACGTGCAGGGAATCTTAACTGTTTGTCCTTTCAACGAAATAAAGGACATCCCGATTTTATCGTTCTTTTTTTATATATTAAGACCACTACCTAGACATTCCACCTTGAGGATTTATAATTAATAACTCAATAAAGACACCTACCACAAACACTAGTCGTACCAATTCTTCCAAACCCTAATTAAAAGCAGTAGAGGATTCAGGTCTTAGATAAATTAATGTGACTTTCTAGGTGCAGAGGGTAAGCAAACCTCATTATGACTTCAATGTCTTGGAGGTATCAACTCCGGTGTCAGCTGCAGAACTGAGATCTTTGGCGAGGGGTCGCTTGCTTCTTACTGTGGAGGCTGTTGATGCTCCAGAGAGAAGGATCGTAGGAAGTGTGAGACAGAAAGCTGCTTGTGAAGTGTACAACACACCACTTGTGTCGGAGAGGCTATCAGCAACGCCCGCTCCTGAAGGACTTGCCTTGCTTTACATTGACAAAGAAGGGTCCCTCGTCTATGACATACAGGTAAATAAAATTTGGTGGCCTTATTGCAAGGTTTTTCTTAAGTCTAGTTCTAAACCATTAGGTCTAATTTTTCAATAGTCAGGTAATGTTATCTGAGGAATAAAATTGTTGCTGTCACTGTCTTACACATGTGACAGCGTCATAATTATTGCCCGGGTAACTTTTATCTAACCATTGAAAATTCAGCCCTTAGTCAAATTTCGAATCTTATTCTCATCTACATTCAATTCGAAAAACAAAAACTGTCTTAATGGTTTTGACCTGACTTACTCTAATGTTACTAAATTTTCTTTCTAATTTCAAATTCTTCACGCAAAAGTTTCTTGTACGCATGTTGGACTTAATGCCTTGGGCACTACCATTGAAACCTTCGTGATGATGAAAAGACAAACTGATGGTAGACATATTTACTCAGCTGACAGTTAGCAAGTCGATTATAAAAGTGCCTAGATTTGAGAGATGAATAGATGAAAATCACAAAAACAGAACTAAAGGAAGAACGCAATGTTAATGATGAAAATGACAAAGAAAATTGTGTAATTATAATTGTAGGTGTAAGGTCTAAAGAGATAAAAAATAATTGGACAGTAAAGCCTGTAATTGTTATATGTAATTCAATTAAAACTGTATAGAACATAACGAGGTGTATTTAACGTCTAGCCTTACAACATAGTTATTTTTATGTAATAGCTCGGCAAACGAGCACACGTATTACCTGATGGTAAGCAATCAGCGCCGCCCATGGACACTCGCAACGGAGGAGTTACGAGTGCGTTGCCGACCTTTTAGGGATTAGGGATTTGGAGATTTAGGGATTGAGGAGGGATTGGGGAAGGGGAAGGATTGGGCCTCCGTTAACCTCACTCACACGGCGAAACACAACGCAGTGGTTATTTCACGCCGGTTTTCTGTGAGGCCGTGGTATCACTCCGGTCGAGCTGACCCATTCGTGCCGAGCATGGCTCTCCCACACTTAAGAGAGAAGATTAACGCCACTGTATTGACATTTAAAAGTTATTTATGTCCAAATTCAATAATATAAGCGAAGGATGAAAGCTACATGTAATGTACAATTTTGATCAGTTTAAGTTATCAAAAAGTTAGGTAGTTTTTTTAAAAGATGACTTATTTATTTATTTATTTAAACTTTATGCAACAAAACATTACATAGGCGGACTTAATGCCGTAGGCATTCTCACCAGTCAATCTTAGGGTGATGCAGAGAGAGTATGGTAGGTGCAACAAGAAGATAACTTTGAGACGATAAATTAAGATTGACTTACTTGACTAAAGTTCCTATGTCTCCTAGGTGGGGCAAAAGGCTTCCACAATATTTTTCCATTGGGATCTATCTTGGGCTATGTGCTTAATTTCGGACCAGGACAGTCCTATCCTCTTTATTTTCGCCGCAACTGTGCGCCGTCACGTTTGCTTAGGACGGCTAACTTTTCGCCTGACTTGTGGTGTCCACTCTATAGCTTGTCTCGAGTTTTTATGAGATAGGTCACATAGATTTTGGAGCATTATTTCATCTACATGTTTCTAAAATTTAATAGCAAAGTGAAAACCAATTCTCACCCAAAATCCCCCAACCCTAATCCCCAAAATGTCGGCAAAGCACTAGAAACTCTTCCGTTGCTGCCATGTCTTTGTCCGTGGGCGGCGCTGATTGCTTACCAACAGGTAATGCAGACGTATCACAAAAAAAAACTAGTTAATGATGATTTCTGAATAGTTTTTGAGTCCCATTTTGTATCTAGTGTTTGCAAATAGGAATATGGTTTCAATTCATCAAGTCGATTAAAGCTAGGAACGTACCTAACGTACTCCACGCCGAAAAATAGACTTCAGACTTTAGACTCTTTATCATAACGACTATAATTGAAGCACTCGGTCATTTCATTGTTACGTAACCCAAGTAATCCGGTAGTTTCCAACTCGCCCAATTCAATTTTTTTATTGAAATCTCAATCGGTTACTTTTATGAAATCGCAACATATAACGTCATAATGTGTTGATACACGCCAAATACCATACTTGTGGCTGAAAAATTAACTACAAGATCAGTTACAATCAATCTTAAAGTAAGAGTATATCCACAAATCATTTAATGAAAGTACCTATGATTGTATTTTCATAAGTCATTGTATGTTATTATGTTACTTATAATTTGGATCTTAAATATTTCATTTATTATTCTTATTAATGATGCATTGTATTAAAAAATCAGCTTATCAGTTATACGACAAAAAAAAATATCATGCTGAAATCTGGACTTCTAATTTTCTAGTTGTTTATAAGTTTGATATCGCTAATCCGCCTTGAACAAGGTGTGGTGATTAATTCCAAACCGTGTGAAAAAAGGGCTTTGCTCGGCAGTGCGTACTTATGGGCTGATGATGTATTGAAAAGTCTAAATAATTTAATTTTTGATATAGGCGATCTAAAGCTTTGTTTAAGTTAAATGTCTCTGAGTACCACCATATTTTCTATTCTATCTTTATTTTTTAACCTAGTTAAAAAATAATCTACATTTGTCTGACGAAGCGAAACCTTTAATTTACAGGTTGACAATTTGGGTATAACAGACCCAAAGATAACGTTGGTGGAGGAGCAAGGCAAGCGTCACTCTCAAGTCGAGATTTTGGACACCCGCATTGGAGTACTGGCGAGACCTAGTGCCAGGATTTTCCAGCCTTTGTACGAAGAACAGCTTGCTGTCCATATTAGCGCTGACACTGGTAAACTTTATTTAATTCTTACCTTCCATTGATTCGCTTAGAAGAATGAATTATGACTTGTTTTTATACCACTTTTAAGTAACTTTTTTTGTGAGGGGAAAATCATCAAATGACCTCTCTCGCCCAGGGTGAGGCGAGAGGGAGACCCTTCCATTCCTTCTCCTCCTTTAGGCCGAGGCCGCAGTACCTTATTGAGCTAGACTACGAAACTGCTCAATGCATGATTTAAAAGGCCTAAATTTCACAGAGAGCTGCTAGGCCCAAATAAAAATAATATAAAATTTAGTTGTATTTTTACAGAAAACTTAATGACACTTGTAGTTTGTATATACTTGTGTCATTTAAAATTGGTATTTTTGAATATTAGATTTCAATTATTTTCTTTGAAAATTTTATGAATATTATGTAAAAAAGGCTTTGAGCTAAGGTGGCAAAAATGTTCAATACTTTCCAGATTCCTCATATTTTTTACTTTCAAATTGTTATTACACACTCTCAGTGGTTTCAAGTATTGTACACAAGTGAAGTGAATCCAAACAAGACAATTAAATGATTACTGCGTTGTAGTTGCCACTTCATCTCATCATGTGCCTGATTTAATTTATTCCTATTAAGCCGAGCGACGAGTTCAATTTGTACGGCAAACATATAAATCTATAGAGATTTCTGTAAACATTATAGTATTAAAAATATCACCTAATTGGTCTATTGAGAATGTAGTGTAGTCATTTTGGTAAATTACCTGATGGAAACTTTTTATTGTTTTTCATTTTCGAAAAGTCACTGATATAGAATAACAACCACGTGAAGTACCATTTAATATTATTTTTTCTATAAACGGAGGCCTTGACATATGCCTGCGTACATCATACTTAAGAAAAACTTAATTGCCTTCTACTTAATAATATTAAATAAATTAAATAAGAAAAATGATTCTATATATTGCTTTTTTTTTCAGGTCCACCAATTCTGCGTGGTCGTCTCACATCCCGAATGCTGCCTGATGCAGCAGGTTCTGGTCCCGCTCTGCTACGAAGAACAGGACAAGTCAGGCTTCCCGCAGCTATGGCTGGTCTTGCTTGGCTGTCCGTGGACTCTTTATGCGGATTGTATTATGAGGTATTCGTCGAGACATTTATGTAAAAAGCTATGCAACTCATTTGATGGATTCGTTTAATTATTGTTACTCAACGCTATAAATGGAACACGACTGCACAGTTGGCGCAGTGGCTGGGTAACTGGCTGCCGCGCAACGTGTCGCGGATTCGATTCCCGCACGGAACAACTCTTTCCGGGTTTTTCCGGGTCTAGGTGTGCTGTGTATATGAAATTATAAAGTTTGTAAACGCACCTACGGCACAGCAGAAAATTCTGGTGTAGGGCAAGGTTTTTTTTTACAAATTAATGCCTTAAAAATAATCCGGGTATCTGAAAACCTTTGAGGGATGATATAGATGCTAACAGTCTTAACCTTATAAAAATCTTTACCTTTTAATTTTATCATCAGTCTAATAATAATTAAATTATCTTTTTTTCCAGACTGTAGTTACCGGTGGTAATGCTCGTTCTTGGTCATCCTGGTGGCTGGGAACTCACCCTGGCACTGAAGTTGCGGCTAGAGAATTAGGTGGTGAAGAAGGATGGGTCTTGGAGCCGACCTCCGCTGAACTGGTGGCGTTGCATCTAGGAGCTTCATCCCTAGAACTGCGCGCCCACGATAATGTAACTGTGATCCTACGCGCGCGAGTACCACAGGTAAATAATATTTAAATTCAGTTCTCTTAAACTCTTCCACATATTACATTTTGATGATCGTCATTAATAAAACAGTAAAAAATCCTATATTTTTTATCTAATAGCTTTTATCATAAGTGATCTAATTCAAAAAAACTCAAATATCTTTACGAATTAAGATAACACAAACCTAAACCATATTTAATTTAACAATCAATTTGTTTATGCTGCAACAGATTGGAAAATTCATTGGTGAGTCAGTAAAAAACTAATGATGGATGAATTGGAGATTTTTAAGTAGTGATCACGGCATTAAGCGTATTTGCCTATGCTTTTCAGATAAGCGTGCCTCCATCGTGTTTGCCAACCGTGCCAGGGACGTCGGACAACGAGCTGATTCCCAAGTATACTCCAGGACCCTTAGAAGACCAAATGACGGACTACTCCTTGTTCCGCCTCAATTATTGCACTCAAAGAGATAAGTTCTACAAGCTTGGGGAAACTTGGACTGATACTGAGGTGAGGATACCTTTCTCAATTTTTATCTACTTTTTATTTCGAATTGACCTTGCTAATTTGAAGATTATTTTTAAGAAGAAGTATATTTTTTTTATGTAATTGGTCGGCAAACGAGCAGACGGATTACCTGATGGTAAGCAATCACCGCCGCCCATGGACACCCGCAACGGAGGAGTTACGAGTGCGTTGCCGACCTTTTAGGGATTAGGGATATGGAGATTTAAGGATTGAGGAGGGATTGGGGACGGGGAAGGATTGGGCCTCCGGTAACCTCACTCACACGGCGAAACACAACGCTGTGGTTGTTCCACGCCGGTCTTCTGTGAGGCCGTGGTATCACTCCGGTCGAGCCGACCCATTCGTGCCAAAGCATGGCTCTCCCACGCTTAATATCCTTATAAAGACATGTATACATACTTTGCTTAAACAAACATCTCTAGTACTAGTTTTGGTCTTTTTATACAATATGGCGGCTCAGGGGTAGTTGTATCACTGGATAACAATTTATTGGTGCTGTTCTTAGACTCCAGAGGAGGTGCAAGCACAATGCTGGCCTTTTGACATTAGGGAGCTAGGGATTGGGGGATCTGGGGATTGGGGATAAAAGGTTTAGGCTTTGCATAGCACAGCAGTTTTCTGTGAAGTCGTGGTACCAATCCGATCGAGCCACTTAAATGAATTTTTCGTTAATATAAAAGTTTTGAATTATTTTCAGACATGTTCAAAGTGCTGGTGCGTATTGGGGATGGTGCGTTGTGAACCGGTGCAGTGTCCACCTGTCAACTGCCTGGTGCCTACCATCAAACCACCTGGACAATGTTGCCCTATTTGCACCAGTGAGTATTTGATTGAAACTGACTAAAATCACATAAATTAACTCGTAACATTTTTTTTATTAAAAGAGGATTCATGCTATCTTCGTTTTTATGATTTTTTTATACGGTAGAATAGCACACGAGCAGATTTATTATTACCAGATGGTAAGCAATCGAGACCGTCAATGGACACCCGCAACAACGGAGGAGTTACAAGTGCGTTGCGGAACTTTTGGGGATTAGGGATTGGGAGATTTAGGGTTTGGGGAAGATTTGGATTTGCCCTCCGGTAACCTCACTCACACGGCAAAACACAACGCTGTTTTTGTTTCACGCCGGTTTTTGAGGACGTGGTATCACTCCAGTCAATATTTCAATGTCCCTTTCCAGATTCTACGACGGCAGTTTGGTCAGAAAACGGAAGCTGCGTTCTTGCCGGGCAGAGTTACGCCCCAGGTTCATCGTGGCACCCTTACCTAGTGCCCGGAGGTTATGACACTTGTGCTATCTGCACGTGCAACTTCGCGACCAGGCAAATACAATGCCCTAGGGTAAAGTGCCCACCTCTACGCTGCAGTGAGAAAGAAGCGTACAGGCCAGACAAGAAGGCCTGTTGCCGCGTATGCCCAGAGGTAAATATGAAACTGACTTTAAAATAAAATATAAGTACAATCATTTAGAATTTTGGTATGCTCATTTTTGATACTTGTTCCTAGGTAAAAGCAAAGAAACCGGACGAAGAAACACCAAAAGACCAAGGCGCGCCTCGCACTGCCGAAGAGATTTTGGCAGAAGGAGGGTGCAAGTTCCCCGACGGGCCTCTGCCCAACGGCAAGGAAGTGCATCCCTCTATACATTCGCATGGAGAGCAGCGATGTGTCACGTGTCGATGCAAGGTAATTACACCATGCCTATGCACAAAATCTATCGTGAAGTGGTTTTGATACGCTAAAATTTGATGGATTTTATTTTTATTTTTTTACCTTTAAGGTCGCCAAACGAGCAGACGTATTACCTGATGGTAAGCAATCAGCACCGCACATGGACATGCAACAACAGAGGAGTTACGAGTGCGTTGCAAACCTTTTGGGGATTAGGGATTTGGAGATTTAGGGATTGGGGGAGGGGAAGAATTGGGCTTCTGGTAACCTGACTAATACGGCCGAACACAACGCTGTGGTTGTTTCACGACGGTTTTCTGTGAGGCCGTGATATCACTTTGGTCGAGCCGACCCATTCGTGCCGGGACCTGGCTCTTCCACGCTTAAACTTGTTGTTAAAATTGTTGATTAGATTTTAGCTTTATGCACTGTGTATTCGTGTGTTTCAGGACGGGGAGGTGACATGTGTGCGCAAGCGATGCGGTCGCGCGGCGTGCGCGCGGCGACGGCGCGTGGACGCGTGCTGCGCGTGCACGCGGCACCGGCGGCAGCGCGCGCCGCGCACGGAGCGGCCCGCGCCGCCGCCGCCCAGCTGAGCGTGCGGCCCGCCCGCGCGCGACACTCCCCGGACACAGTATTACTGCGCCCGACCACCCCGTCTATACCCCAGACTGCTCGTAGGCTAAGTGAGTGAGCGCGTAGCTCTATAGACTGACATATTTTTATGTACTCGTGCGATTCGAATGTGTCTCTAGTTTTAGTTTGCGTCATCGGTGGCGTGCCGTCACCGAACCGAACGACCGGTGCGACTCAATACGAAACGTTGACTGATAGTTTCAGTGCAGTACGAGGTGCCACTCTTGCTAGCACGAGTATGACGAATACAGCAGGAAATTTTTGATACATTGTATCAGGCAAAATATAATTTTTGACTGTATGGATAAAAATATGAGGCTTGGCCAATTAGAGGTTATTGTTATCATCGGAATGAGCGGATGTGGCGGAGCGCGTCGGTGCGCGCGTTCGGTAGCGGCGACGGCGGCCGCGGCGTGACTCGGTAGGAGGCGGTAGGACGGTCGGCCGCGTGGAGGCTCGGAGTCGATCGACGATGGACGGTAGCTTTACTGTGTATTATTTTAACGGCGTTGAATATTTACTTACCCACCGGTATTTTAATTGGTATTATGGTAACCCGAAATTTAGGCGCATTACAATGATCCGATACTGATTCGTATTATTTTAGTGGTAGGGCTCGATCGCTCGGTCGTCAGACAAGGATTGCGAGCGCGGTCGATAACAGATGTGCCATATTTTCTTAAATGTAAATATAAATTATAATTACTACTTATGTGCATATTTATTTACGTCTCTATTGTATATGATACGGGATACCGCACGTTTAGGTAATCATGTATGAACCATCACAAATGCTATGTTATTGGTCGCCTTGTTTGTGCATTTGCTTTTAGTTTTGTATATCGTATGTTAATACCACGAGTGTCATTACTAGAAATGATCGGTAACTCGATTGTCTGCGTTATTTTATCTAGTTGTAGTGGAACAAGGGAGGAGATATTTAATGTTATATTGTAGACAATAACAACCGACATATTGGAATTGATGTTGCTTCAACTTATTACTACATTTATACATAGTAACCGAATGTAATCCCAGTGGCTTATGCATTGGAATATGCTTTCAGAGACTGGAGTAATTAACTTTTCTTATACGTACATCAATAGACTTATATGCGTTTGTTTGTAATAAATTTTGTAAATATAAAATATCATTATAGTTTACATTTCAACTGTACTGTATACAATGATACCTATAACGTATTGTACCGATATAAAACAATATATTATGTAAGGTGTAGTTTACGCAAACGTGACTAGTTTTGTTTAATTACTAGTTTAACGGTTTAGTTACGTAATTAAGGAAGCTAGTCCAAATGTTTCGATGTGATGGATATGGATGCCATGTAGCTAGCGATACGTCTGTTTTCAATACTGATTATAATAGGAATTTATTAATTATAAGTTGTATCCGAAGCGTCAATGGGTGTATAAACTGAAGCGATGCATGGAACGTGATGAGACGCCTTTTACAAATGTTATGCGCGGGCGCGGTAAGGCGGCTTTGTGTGTATTGCTATTGGATTTCATAAGGCGCTACAGTCTATACACCACGTGACCAACTAGCTCGGATTTGATATTGTGCCGTAACAGCACGTATTTTAGCAATTTGATTTTTGTTTAAAGAGAGTCCATTTGCCAAAAATAATTTGTAAATGATTTACGTAATTTTTGTTTTGTTGTGGGTTCTAGTCCTGTCGAAATTTTTTTTTGAGGAGTTTGTTGTATTATTTAAAAATGTTAGATTGGCTATTATTTAGATTTTTTTTATTTTGACATAACGAGAATATCACTCGGTTAAGCGCAAGATTTATCTTGGTTCTAATATATTTTTTTGTATAATCTAACAATAGGAAGTTAGTCACCTATGGCTTGCGAATAACATAACTAATAGCCATAAAGAATACTATGAACTCGCTTGTATTGCATTGTTTTTCTATTTAATAAATCACTGCATTCAATACCTGCCTATGTATTGGTATTATAACGGGATGATATTCATTATAATCTTTATCTAAAACTGTTAATTATTGGAATTGGAAAATTAATGTTGAATTTCTTTGTAAAAGTATACACAATCTGTGGTATTTATCACGCTATTTGGGTTGTCTAGACACATCCAGCCAATAGTTTGTAAACCAACATACATTGATATGAAATAAATGACCTGTGAACATAATTATATGAATTTTTATTTCGTTTTTCGTATCAGCTACAACATTCTTCAAAGTTAGAATTGACCTTCTACAATCACTTCCAAGTTCCAGATTGTATCCAACTGGAAAACATCGTGAGGAAACATGGACTTATAATTTCTAGTTATAAGTTTGAAATCGGCAATCCACCTTGAGCAAACGTGGTGATTAATGCTCAAAACTAGTCAGTATGAAAAGAGGGCTTTGCTCAGCAGTAGGAACTTTAGGCTGATGATGTGATAATGTAATAATGTTACAAAAAGAGACTCAATTATGAATCTGTTTAAAGATAGGCGCGATAATACACGTTTACACAATTTCAGGACTGAAAATTTAACCAAAGCATACTTTGGCATGAATGGGCTGGCTATGCCGGAGCGATAACACGGCCTCACGGAATACCAACGTGAAACAACGCTTACGTTATGTTTCGCCGTGTGATAAACGTTACCGGGGACTCAATCAATAACCTATGCCTATCATCGCTTATTCCATTAAACAAAGGCTTGTTTTCCAGCCTATACCATAATATTCTTTTTTGTTTTTTACTGAGTTCTGATCTAGGACCTCGAAGATATGAGAATGTAATATTAAAATAAAAATTAATTTTGTTTCAAATATTTTACTTAAAGTGTATCATAAAAAAATATTCATAATATTATTATGTAATAAGATATTTGCTATTAATACCTTGTCAAAAGGCTAATTTACAAGACTAGATATTATTTTTGCATTATATTTATAGAGATGAGGATTTCTTGAGAGCTCGAAGAGTATCAGCCATAGCTTCGGCCACTGCATCAGCGACTTTTGTTGTGGAGTTCACGCCCATGATGCCAATGCGAAGAGCCTTGTCGACTGTAGGGCCTAGTCCAGCGAAAATCAAAATGTTGTGGCTGTGGATATTTTATATAGATTAAGTATCAAGTCAAACAAGTAGCGTACTCCATCTTGAAAGGCGGGCAACAAGGGTGTGAAACGTAAAAAAAAAACATGCTTGTGTAAGTTTTTTTTTTAAATAAATGGGAAAGATTTTGTAGAGGTACTTGTATGAAATATCACTAAGGAATTTAGGTTAAACGTGACTTTAAGTATAAACAGTGTCATATTAATATCATATATCAATAATATCATATTAATTATCTTAAATAAAATTAGTAACAAGAACCTAGTGTTAACATTGTAATCTGATACATTACTAACCCATTGTTATAACTATTTCAAAGGGGTGAATTTTCCTAAATAAAGTCAGTGTATACTCAACGTGCGTTCGTTTCATTTCACTCCGCTCTATCCGCACATCACACCCCTCTGTCATGGGCGGCGCGAATCATTTACCATCAGGTGATCAGTCCATTCGCTTGCCTCCTATTCCATAAAATAGTAACAAATAATGCCATTTTGATTATATGCTCCATGGTACAAAGAATAACGAAAGTCCTGTAATAGGTACCTACTCTACCGCGAAAATCTTTAATTGAAAAAGATTTTCATAAAAAGCCTTTAAGGTTGGCTTGTAGGTTATTAATGTGAGGAACTTACTTTTCTCTCATATATTTCACGAATTGTTTGTAATCGTATCCTTTAGGCAGCTTCACAGTTGTGACGGTTGCCAGACGGTCTTCTGGTTTCGGGATAAGGAACTCGAAGGAGTACTCCCGAAGACGTTTGTGGAAATGTGCAGTACTGGCGGCGTGACGAGCCCAGGACACGGGTAGGGTCTCTTTCACCAGCTCTTGGAGACAGGCACGAAGAGCCCATAGCAATGGCGAACTTAGGGTGTGGTGGTATCTGAATGGTGGAAATAAATAATAACGATATGGAAATAAATAATAAAATTTATAATCCCCTGTCAGAATATTAGCGCTTCGCTATTTTTACCTTTTGGTGCATAATCGCAGCATATGCTGAGATAGGAACCTTTTTGACCTCGCACAGGTCTTTTTTTATTTTTTAATATTTTTTGTTGTTGTTTTGTTTTATTTTTATTTGTTTAAAATATAATTGTTCTTATATAGGGTTATTCGGTTCTTATATAGGGTTCGTATATTGTTCCTATATTTTCTGTCCTGTGCGAGTTTCCAATAAATGTTTTTCTTTCTATCTTATAACTTATATCATAAATCTTTATGAAACTATTTAAAACTAGTATTCTCGCGCGGTTTCATCCGCGGCTCAGCTCCATTTGATCGTAGCGTGATGTTATATAGCCTATAGCCCTCAGTAACATTGTAGCTTACTATCAGTGAAAGAATTTTGACAATCCGATTAGCCGTTCCAAAGATTACCCTACCCTACATACAAACTTAAATTTTACTTCTTTATAATATTAGTATAGATTAAAATAAATAATTAGCACATATTTTATATGTTCTTACATTCTTGTGACTCCATCACAACTCCACTGCAGAGATAACTGTTTCGCATCCAGGTAGAAAGGTGGATTGTGTTTTCTAGTGTTAAATTTTTGTCTGTAAGTACAAAAAAGGAAGAAATTAGGTCATCATTATATTTGTTTAAGTATTAATTTAATACAAGACATGAGAATAATAAGGGGCAAAGATAGAAAAGATAGATCTATATATTATGGATATAAAACTGAACACATATCGTTGAGAATTAGTTATGGATATAGTTTACAACCAGAAGAAGAACATAGGATAGCGTAGAGTAGGTAGGGTAGGGCAGTTAGGATAGGAAAGGTAGGATAGGGTAGATAGGGTGGGTGGTGTAGGGTAGGTAGAGTAGGGTAGGTAGTGAAGTTAGGTATCTAGGTTGGGTAGTGGAGGTAGTCAAATGAAGGGAGCAAAGTTGCGAGTCAAAGGTAGTAAATTTGAAAGTGTATCTTACTCAGCACGCGCACTGAATGCGATGGGAGAAATGCCAGCTGGTCCGCTGAACACCTTCTGTGTGGAAGTGTATACTCCATCGACTCCCCACTCGTCCATGAAGAATGGAACTCCGCCTAATGAGACCACGGTGTCGGCCAGAAGCAGTGCCCCGTATCTGAAACATGATTATTTGAAATTAGAATCATTTTTTTTAGTTTTCGATTTGGCAAGGAGATCTAATAACCTCGTGGTGACGCAGAGGTTAAGGCCGAAAAGAAAGGAGAAAAGAGAGAGAAAGGAGGGTAAAGTTCGAAACCTGGCAAGTACCAAAGTGACTTTTACTGAGTTATTTGTACTTTCTATGATTAATTAGACACCACTGACTTACGGTGAAGGAAAACATCGTAAAGAAACCTTGGTCTTATAATTTCTAATTATAGGTACGTTTTTACGTACGCCTTGATGGAGTGTGGTGATTAAAGCAAACCTTCTCCGTGTGAGAAGATGCCTTTTTTCAGCAGTGGGCGCCGATAGGCTGATAAAATGAAGGGTTGTATAGCTATTTTAAATGCAGTTAGGTGCAGTTCGGGTTCAAATTAATGCTAAAACGAGTAAAAGAAAGTACGATAGTTGAAGGAGAACTCGAAGAAGTTGTACCTTAATGAAATAAAAATACTTCTGCATCTCAAAGGACAGTTTACAAGTAAGTATTAGAGTAGAAAGCAAGTCAAGCTAAACTACAACGCTTAAAGAAAAAGTGGCCAGAGAAAAATTTCAAATAGTCTGTCGGAACCACCGAAAAACTTTTTATCTTAACTTTTACCGAGCTCGGTATTTTCCACTGCATGCTAATTGCAGACTCCTTGGCAGGATGCAATTAAAGAGTTTTCAACTAGAACGTATTCAGACCTAGATCTAAGTAAAAAGCCAAGTCAGGAATGAAAGAGACAACGATTGTAATTAAATTGTTCGGTCCCCGTGTCCCAGTCTCACAATTCCTCGGGCAATCAAATAGTTTTTCTGCTAAAGTTCGCTGTTTTTTTTTTAATTTGGAACAGAAAGGGCGACAGGAGGAATGGTTTTAGTACAGATTGGATAAAGGCCCGCTCGTGGTTTTTACAGCAGTTCGTTAAGTTGACAGACAGGGGTTAAAAGACCTATCTATGGATTTCGTTGACTGCCCTCGTTTAAAGTGTACTGTGTAGGATTTGATTTCGATACTTTTGATGCGTATCTTACTTATTTTAATGAAAAAGTGTCTAGTAATCGAATAGGGAATAAAAAAATTATGTCTTGAAATGGAAAGTTTTTCAAAATCTCATATTTTTAGGGTGAAAAATACCTATTTCTGTGTTATGTAAATACCTAATAGTCTTCTTAAGGTCATGGGTGCAAAAATAGTGATTCGAGACGCTGAATTTATTAGTCCATTAATTTAATAACTACTTGGCACGATAGGTGCCTCTGTGATCTTAGCCTTACTATGAACTAATCTAGTGTACCTCTCTGATTATATTATCCCTCTTTTTGAGAATGTAGATCTTAAAGGTGCTAGTTATGTACTCACTTGTGACATAGATCGCCTAAACCCTCAAGATTCTGCAGTGTTCCAGTTGAGGAGTCTCCGTGAGTTATGAAGAGGGCTGCCGGTCGTGTTTTCTTCAGTTCGGGCTCCAGTTGTGCAAGACTGAAGGTTGTGTCCATTGGGATACTTACCACTTTAGTTTTAATTCCTGAAATCATTATAAAGAATTCGTTGTAGTTAAAGCATTCAGGAGTGCTAAATAGATTATAAGCATTTAAGGAAAATGTTTGTAAATGTGAAGTTAGCTATTGAACATCGAAGCCAGTGTTGTAGGTGCAATATGGGGTGGTTTTAGTCAGTAATTCTGACGCTCCTTAACGGCACAAAATGGCACTGCAGAAAAAACATGACGATTTTCCACCCTCAAAATAAAGTTATTGAACAACATCTACAGCACCAAAACTTCATAAATACAAACTACACACACAGTTCCACTCCAACCATTTAGCTGTTTCTACAAATAAGCTTTTTTTTAACATCAGACTAATCGATGACGACATAGCCTAATTATCATGAGCTGATATTATATACATATTACAAAATTACCGTATCTAGTGGCTATCATGAATGCTCGTTGATCCCATATGCCCCTGGAAGCGATAAGTAATGTTTCGCCAGGTCCCACTAGGTTGCTGATAATGGCTTCCATACCGGAGTGGCCGGACCCACTCGTCGCCATCACTAACTTGCTGCGAGTTTGGAACACGTATTGCAAACCAATGCGAATGTCTTCCAAGACCTGGAAATAGAAGAAAGATAAATTGGAATCAGGTTATAATCTAGTGTCGTGGTTGCACATCACATCCAGACCTAGAACAACAGTTTGTAGATCACACTAGAGTTTTTTTAAAAGAGTAACGATGGAGTTTCTTGCTCGTTCTTCTCCATTCGAATCTACAATTTGGAATGAGCACCTAGCTTCACTGACGAACAGACAGACAGACTACTTCTCTATTTTGACGTTGCAAAAGTACCTATTTATGGTTTAGTTGGAATAAATGATTTTGACTTTGACTTTTTCCTGTGCGACTCCTTGCACGGCAGCCGGTTTTCCAACCACTGTGTCCACTGTGAACTCAATTCATCAGTTAATTGAGAAAATTTTTGATTTTTGGATTAGAATAGCTAACAAGTCTCTTCTCCAGTTTCAGAATGACCATAATCTGTAAGTATGCCTATGAAATTATTTGTAGTAATTAAGAGAAAATAAGTTATACTTGTACGTATACGCAGCCAGTTAAGTATGATGTATATACTCGTACAATAAGAAGTTACAGCTCCAACGATGTATGAGAATCTATTTATAAGAAAATTTAACTTTGGAGAGTTCCATCATTATAAGAACATAACCAATTACCCAACAAAAATAAACCCAAAGAAGAATAACTAAGCCCTCTCATTGAGAATTACATTTCAAATAAGTATTCAGTCGTCAAGAAAGGCGTCATTAAGTTCGAACGCGAAATATGGAAAGAAAACCTCAACCTTATATTTGAGTTCACCTCTTGAGATATGACAAGGCATGACCTTGGACTGCTGTATGTTTGCCAACCCTTATATAATGGGAACAAACTCAAAAAGGTTGTTTACTTACTCTGCAAACACTCTGGATTATTGCGGCGTGCAGCATTCTTGTAACTCATGAGAGAGACCTCACTTTATTATTCATGTAATTTCACCTGAGTACATAGGACTCCAGGTTTTGTTTTTGCATACGAACAACACGCGTGTTTTGTAAGCACAACGACATCATGAACTTTTCCCTGTGCCTTCAAATTTTAGGGACCCTGATAACTTCGGGCTAAATGGAAGTATAAAAGGGAAGAGTAAGGAACTCTGTGAGTTGTGATTGTACAGCGAATGTTTGTTTAGTTATCAACAAGGTGATAAGGTCAACCCAGTCTACAAGTGACGCAGCGAGCTCTGATAGCAACCGTCATTAACAGCTGTAAGCTGTCCACGTGTTGATCTCATAAAAACATTACAACACATTACGTACTTTGAACAATTCTTCGCAGATTGGTGAGAGGATAGGCTTGCTGAGTGCCTTCTCTACGGAAGGCCAGTAGTCACACGGTCCCGGACCACATAGAAGCGGCTTTACTACCTCTCGGTCTTCGATCCTTGGGGGAGGTACTATGAACTTGTGGGAAGACATCTTGATAATATTTTCTAGAAGAAAAAATACAATTATATTATTTTTTGTTTCCATTTTTTCATTTCTAAATTGTTATAGTGGGTTTAAGTTATCGCTAGATAACTTTTAATTCATCCAATTTGCATGTGTTATTTATAACCGCCGTGTTCGCCAGAAACAAGAGTATCTCAGTGAAACTAACTCGCACTCGGTGACCGATATTCGGCGCAAGTATTCGTGAAGTTTGGTTACCGGAATCGGGTTAATGTTTAGATTTAGTGCTAATAGGGTGGTTGTAAATTTCGTACAATGTTCTGGCGCTATCGGATGGCACATTTGGCAAGTGCGCCTCGCCCGGGGCGCGCGCCGCTTGCCAGCCTCATATTTGTTCCACATGCTATCGTTGGTAGCCTGCGGTTTAACAATTGTTTTTATATCCTTGTTTACCATTCATTCACAGTATGTTCGCTTAAAAAAGCGAAACACGAATGTATTTCAACGTTAACCGTGCCACAGATAAGAGAGGTCAAGAGTGCATTTGGCAGCGCGCTTATTGACATGATAGTTCGTCGTTCCCAAGCTAGATCTGAGGTTATATAAGACTGAGACGCGGGATGAAGATCGAACGAGCGCAATGTTGTCTCGACAAATTGATTCGATTCCCATCGCGACTGTCGAAGCGATCCCGGCTTCCCGGCGGGACACAGCGGAGCGAAAGACGAACGACCCGCCGCCGGGACCTTCACGCTTACAAACAGCTCTGCTCCGGCAGGAATATCACCTCCTTGTCGGAGCTGATGCCGCAAAATGGGACATGAATATTTGTTTGTTTACATTTGATCTTGATTTATGGTCGTAATATTATCGGAGTTACGGCTTTCGGAAGTTGAAGTTGTAGCATGCAACTTAATACCGTTATTATCTTTAAAAAATAATTAAAAAGTTTTCACTCACATAATGAATCACAGATTCGGAAATTATCACTTTTCACTTCACTATGTTGCCCACAAGAGGTTATGTGTCCGCCACGACCGGCTAACGCGTACTGACGATATATAATGGTGGTCGTTACTTTAAGTATTTATGTATGGCGATAAAACTGTTTAATGATGTAATTGCCTGTAGAAGGGTTCGAAATTATCAAGATTAATTTTCGCGATAATTTTTTCGTGTGCAAAATGCACACCACTCTCTCTGTGGTTGTATAAAAGGCGGTTTAGAAATTATCTAAGGTTCTTTGGGTATGTTGATTCCCATAGTTTCACTGAGGGTAAGTGTAAATTATTTTGACTTAAGATAGGTGATGGGTTTAGATTTGGTTATGGAATATGTCTAAATATGACGCAATACGAATGTATATTATTTAATTTGGAGTTCCGCATCCCAAGCATGGGGAAATATGGGATCACTAGCGTCCGCCCGCGGCTTCGCCCGCGTGGTATGATGATAAAAAGCTTATGTCCTATTCCCGAGTGTATCCTATGCCTGTGCCAAATTTCATCTAGATCCGTCCAGCTGTTTTGGCGTGATTGACTAACAAACATCTTTCGCATTTATAATATTAGTAAGAACTAAGATAGTAACTAAAATTAGTTCGATAAGAAGTAAGATAAGTATAGTGAGATCTTAAAGTTAATTAATAGGGTTTCAGATATATTTATTAATGCTTTATTGTAAACAATGTAATTTAATATAACGTAATCCTTTTTAAATTCTATTTCATTAGTCCAATCGTTTAGAATTTCGTTGTGGGTCATTATTGACGAAAGATGTTTTTAATATATCCAAGGGGATGCAAATGATACAGAACTCAGACTTGCCAATAGTTACAACAGTTGAGAAATGATTATATTATTTTGCCAAAAATTAAGCTTTCATTTTTAACCTTTTGATACAAACGTTGAATGTCCGGAATTTAGTTTAGAAATTTTATTTGTAACATAGATTATTACTACTTGGGATGGGCAGATTTGTCTTTAAATGTATGCTATTTTTATCGATAGTTGTGTTTTCAAAGTAATGAACAGATCTAGAAGTTTAAAATTACTACATTTTAACAATTTGATTAATTTACCTGACTATTTATATATTTATATACTTCTCACGTTATGATAGTAGCAATACCTACCTTTATATGTTTTCAATGAAGCACAAGAATTCGTTTTGTTTGAAGTCAAGAAAAACATTTATGGTTTTTTTAAATTAAGTATACACATTCATATTTTTTATAAAAATGGAATTGTAATTTGTGTGTTCACATTTATCATAATATAAGTATGTTGAATGTTGGCGTTGTTGTCATGAGATTATGAAGTAATATGTAGGTAATTATTTATATTAAGAATTGGGTAGTTTCCTAGGTCAAAAATAAATTATTTCGACGTTTCAATACAATAAAATATTGAAAATTAACTATTTTTTCATTCATCGATCGATCGATACACTAAATTTTAGATTTTTTTTAGCTAATTATTAAGAAATAAGTAAGCTGTTTGACGCAAAAAAGTTATAACGTCATAGCTCAGTTTTTCATACAAATTTCATAGAAAAGTATCGTTTTTGACGTTTGGATAAAAGTATTGAATTTGACTAGTTGGAAACTACCGTATTATAGGAGAATGTAACAAATACAAACTATTTATTTCAGTAATTGCATATATTTTTATTTTACTTGAAGAAAAAATTAAAAAATTACAAATAACAGTAATTATACCTATCACATAAGAAAAATAAAAAATAAAAATAATTACGACAACGATAGCATAGTTTTGAGCGTGTCCGCCATTGCATCTGCCACTATATCGGCTACCTCCGTTCTAGCGTTAACTCCCATGATGCCGACCCTCAATGCTTTGCCTTCGGTAGGACCTCGGCCCTCCAGAATCAGGATGTTATGTCTGTCGAAGTAAAAAATATTAATAAACAAATGGATATAAAAATCTGTATTTCGAAATACTAGAAATTTTACGTATTATTATTTAGAGTTTCTTAAGGAAGTATAGTTTTTGGCATTAGGAAAAAAGTTGGAATTAGACTAGTTTTTTATCTTTATTTTATATGAGTACAGGGTTTTTTCTGTAGAGAAAATGACACCCCGATTATTAAATAGAATAAATAGATACTAAACACTAAACAGTTGTTACAATTAACAATACACAATAATAGAAAAAACCTAACCACCTTAATCCTTATAATATTAAACAAAGTTCTAGCTTCCTCCGACAATGGTGAAGCTAGAATGCTCTTATAATAGCCTACATTTTGACGGCAAAGAATTTGACTAGTTGGAATCTACTGTATTATATTATAGACGATGATGTCATTGATGATTACGAAGACAAGGGATCGCAGTCAAGCACTAGTTTATTGCAAGTAAAAAAAAGACAGCAAAATGGAATTGAGAGGTCATTAATTACCCGTTTATTGTTCTGAACAGGTATGTTATAGTCACATAATTAACCTTATGTTGTGTTACGCTATATATGACCGCCCTAACAACCTAAAAAAGGCCTACTACGCGCTTGTAACCCCTTTTGAGTCGCGAGTGTTCATGGGTGGCGCCGATTGCTTGCCAACAGAGCATGAAAAAAAGAAAAAAAAAGGAGTTCTTACTACAGATACAGAAACCGATTTGTATACTCACTTTTCTCTCAAAACAGTTGTGAACTCCAAATAATTAATGCCTTTAGGAAGAGCCACGGTGGTGACGGTTGTCAGTCTTTCTTCAGGTTTCGGTACGAAGAATTCGAAGCCATGTTCCTGAAGGCGTTTGTGGAAGTGAGCAGTGCTTGCAGCATTACGTGCCCAGATCACTGGCAGAGTCGCGTTGGAGATCTCCTGGAGGCAGGCCCTTAAAGCCCACAGCATTGGTGGACTCATCGTGTGATGATATCTGAAGGTGAAAAGTTGCGTGAAGTTAGTTAAGGAGGTATTTTTTGACCCATTTTTTTAGTAATGTCGTGGGTAGGTATACAAATATCTATATATATAAAAGAAAGTCGTGTTAGTTACACCACTTATAACTCGAGAACGGCTGAACCGATTTAGCTGAAAATTGGCAGGGAGGTAGTTTAGAGCCAGGAGAAGGACATAGGATAGAGTAGGTTAGGTAGAGTAGGGAAGGTAGAGTAGGGTAGGCAGAGTAGGGTAGGAAGAGTAGGGTAGGTAGAGTAGGGTAGGTAGAGTAGGGTAGGTTGACTAGGGTAGGTAGACTAGGGTAGGTAGACTAGGGTAGGTAGACTAGGGTAGGTAGAGTAGGGTAGGAAGAGTAGGGTAGGAAGAGTAGGGTAGGTAGAGTAGGGTAGTTATAGTAGGGTAGGTAAAGTAGGGTAGGTAGGGTAAGTAGACTAGGGTAGGTAGACAAATGACGGGAGCGACGCCGCGGGTAAGAGCTAGTAAAAATATAAATGACAAAGAATTGTATACCGTGAGGGCATAAAAAACGTGGTAGCAATGTGAAGTAGTCAGCCACAACGCCAACCATGCTATCATTAAGATTGAATTACTTCTCCCGCCCAGGATGAGGAGTGCCAGACTCCTACTGACTAAAAACCCCTGTTCCTTCTTCTGCTCAAGGCCGAGGTTGCGGTACCTTATTGCGCTTGCCCCGCAATCCCGGCTGAGCATAAGCCCTATTGGGCCCCGTCTGTGGCGGTCTATTAGCTCTTTGAGGCGCGCGCCGAACGCAACGCGCCATACGCTTGGGTCTAGTTTTGGTCGGACAGCAAAGTGCCCTTACTCTTCGTCCACAGACTCACGCTTACGGCGACTTGAAGTTTTCGTGGAGTCAGGGCTGCCGTCCTACATAACTCTCTGTGTGTGAACCAGAAATTGTTGTTCCGAGTCTGGGTGTAATGTGTATGTGAAATTGTATGTATTGTAAACGCACCCACGACACACGAGAAAATCGAATGTGGGGCAAAGTTTAAAAAGATATTCATTTTTAATTCAAAATGAATCTAGACTTCTTTATGCTATTTATTCATAAAGTCAGAGTTATTCAGAGAATAAATGGTTTGGTTAATAATGATTCGTAGAAATACCAACTTACACAAACGTAAATTAATTTTCAGAAATATTATATTAATTCTGCGTACACACAACTACTTAATAAATATAATAAAATTATCTTTATAAATTATTTATTATTCCAGTACAATTTAAATGTTGATTGATTTAAAATTGGAATGTGAATTGATTTTAGTAATGTAGGTATTTTCAATTATGAATGACAGTATATTTTGAGTTATCGTTATAATTTATCTCAATTGATTATGTGAGATAATAATAATAATCTGTGTTGCTAATAAAAATAATTTATCAACGTCATTAATTTATGGCGTAAATATTATTTTCTTCTTTATTTAAACTAATTTTATAAAGCTGAAGAGTTTGTTGGTTTGAACGCGTTTATCTTCGGAACTGCTGGTTCGGATTGAACAATTCTTTTTGTGTTGTAAATTCCAGTTATCTAAGAAGGCTATAAAACATCATGCTATGACCGATAGCAAACGAGGAGCGAGTACAATCGCGCGAGATGACCTAGGTTCTGAAATATAAAAAGTTATAACGGATCAAGATATTATCGTATTTTAGGGGTATATTCAGTGTCTTGTAATTTTGCAGCATGTCACAAAGTGTGGGAGAATGTAAAGCAATAATATGCTCATACTTCATGGCTATGTTTGCATGTAACCATATTGTATACGTGCACGTCTGCCTGTACTTCCAGGGATTAAAAAGCACGATATTTTGTTAATCCATATAGATATTACTATAAACGCGAAAGTAACTCTGTCTGTCTTTTCTTCATGCCTAAGTTACTAAACCTATTTGTGTGAAATTTGGTACAGACATAGTTTGGAACTCTAGAAAGGACATAGGATAGTTTTTAAACCAAAAATCTGCAGGAGGTCACTATTCCACGCGAACAAAGTCGCGGGCAAAAACAAGTTATTAAATGTATTTATAATTTGAGTACTAGTATCGGACTTCTTGGTTGGCGGAGTAGCTTAGCAACCAACTCCATATGATCTAGAGATTGTTGTTTCGAGTCTGGATGTGGTGTGAATGTAAATGTAACTAGAGTTGAGACCCTCTTCCATTATAGGTACGTTAATACGACAACAATGTACTTATTTAAGTCACTATTTTAAAAAAAAGCAAACGTACTTACACTCTGGTATCGCCATAACAGTTCCATTGTTTTGCTAACAGCTTGACGTCGAAGTAGAAAGCAGGTTCATGTTTTCTGTTGTTTATCTTCTCCCTACAGAAAAATCACATAATTGTAATATTATTTTAGTTTTTAACCGACTTCAAAAAAGGAGGAGGTTCTCAATTCGACGCGTATTTTTTTTTTATGTATGTACACCGATAACTCGAATACGCCTGGACCGATTTGCAAAATTCTTTTTTAATTCGATAGGGTATACCTGCCATTTGGTCCCATTGTCATGAGGTCAGGATCTGATGATGGAATCCTGGAGAAATCGAGGGGAGCTTTCGAAAATTGTAGGGGCGAGTAGGATTTTTGTATGATTTTTAAGTAGGCCTTTAACAACACTGCAATTTGACGAAGGTCGAAGTCGACCAGATGTTGGAGCTGGAAGACAGTCGAGGGATCTCCTTGACTATTTGGAGTAATTGCCTTGTGTTTGGGCTTGAATGATTCGTATTGGCGAGCACTTTGCAGCAGGCTTAGTCGTAACTGTCATTAAGGGTCTGATGATGAGAACGAAGGACAGCTCAGGGAACTCCTGAACGGTTTACAGTAACTACTTCGTGTTTGAACTTAATTCATTTATATTGATGAAAACTTTGTACCTGTAGGTATGTATCATAACAACTGAAGGTCTGCAGTTTACCTGATGATGGAGACAATTGAGCGTCGAGGGAATTCCGGATGGAAACGAGAGACAGTCGAGAGAACTCCTCAACGATTCATAGCAGCTTCCTTGTGTTTCAGCTTAATTTATTCGTTTTGTTGAGAACTTTACACCTTGATGGATTGTGACTGTCATTAGGGATCTGATGATGAAGACGAACGACAGTCTAAGGAACTCCTCAACGGTTTACAGTAGCTACCTCGTGTTTGGACTTAATTTATTTATATTGTTAAGAACTTTCCCTCTCCTAGAGAGATAGCCTGTGTCCCAGTAGTGGGAACATTAAAATGGCTGATGATGATGATGATGATGAGAACTTTCCCATTTCTTGGGATCTATATATTTTTTAATCGGGCGGCTCCTTTCATTGGCCTACACATAGCTACTTAAAAATATATACCTACTATTCAATATGTTAATTTATATTTAAAATGTTACTGTAGTTTACAGAAGAACTTGCAACAGACACTAAAAAGAAATAAATAAAAAAAACTACGTTTCAAGAAACCGACTTCAAAAACCAAAAAATGTCAAATAAGTAATTAAAATTGATATTTTAATAGCACTCTTACGTACGCGAAGCTAATACTTTTAATATTAATAATAAAACACTATCAATTCTATGTGCTACCTATTCATAGGTTTGAAGTCGGTGCCAAGCCCTAAACAGAATAAAACTAAATGAGAATTAAGACTGTTTAACTGCTAAAAGACGAAATTTCCATAACTAACAACGCAGCTACCTACTACTACTTTTAACAACCAAGTACGAGAAAACTTTCAGAATTCATAATTCATCCAAATATCTTTCTGAGCTATATACAGTTTCGCCGGTAACGAAACCATATAGATTTCTGATTCTACGCTAACGCCATCAGGTTAGAAAATCGGTACTAAATTTCTTAAATCCTAACAAATAAATTCAAACGCGCCCGGCGAGTTTAGGTACTCATGTAATCATGCTTATTATATTATGTATTAGGCTTGGCACCGACTTCAAACCTATGAACAGGTAGCACATAGAATTGATAGTGTTTTATTATTAATATTAAAAGTATTAGCTTCGCGTACGTAAGAGTGCTATTAAAATATCAATTTTAATTACTTATTTGACACTTTTTTGTTTTTGAAGTCGGTTTTTTGAATCGTAGTTTTTTTTATTGATCATACAAAACGTGGAAAGAGGTTAAATGAAAAACAGACTTAATCAATTACCATGAATGAAGAGCTAGATGAAAGTCGATGACATCAAAATCGTGTCATTTGGAGTTTTATGGTTTGCTATAGAAGACAGGCGTGACGATAACATGTAGCTATGTGAATGATGTACTGTGTGTAACAAGACTTAATTTCAAACTTATCATAAAGTAATAAATGTGATCTTTAAAGGAAAAATGGTAATATATCTTACTCGGCTCTAGTACTGAATGCGACGGGAGAAATACCCGCAGGGCCGCTGAATGCCTTCTGTGTTGAAGAAAATACTCCATCTGCTTCAAATTCATCCATAAAGAAGGGAACTCCACCAAGTGAGACTACAGTGTCTACTAGGAGTAGAGCTCCATACCTGAAATATGCGTAGACTTATTAATCTAAGAATTAGGTATATATTATCACGAAATTATCGAATTAATAATTCAAGTAACAATTTATTGTGGTCTACGAACACAAGTTGTCATTCAAGTTTAGCTACTATAACTTAAGTTTTTTAAATAGACATAACTTTAAAAATCCTTCGTTTTAATATGACGTGTGCGTACTGCCTATGTACGCAGGTTTTTCATATTATATCTTGAAGAGGATCTCGTTAATCTACGAGATTTTATTCATAAATATAATGGTAGCTACTGGCTGGTTAGACTGTCAAAGTGAAAATGTAATTTAAAAGGCATCTTTTTTGTAGAATGACCAGTTTGCAATAAACAAAAGAAAATACAAAAAGAGTTTCTGTAACTTATAAAATTAATAAATATCTAATTTATAGATGTGTGTGTTAGCTATTTATTTATTGTTTTAACGGCTTTAGTTGTTTCTTCTACTTTTTGTCAACATGTCGTAATATTTAATGACAGGACTTTGCAACCCTTAGGCAGAACTTACTTGTGACAAAGTTGCCCCAAACCATCCACTTTTTGTAGCGTTCCTGTTGAGGAGTCACCATGAGTGATGAACAAAGCTGCTGGGCGCAACCTTTTTAATTCCGTCTCTATTTGCTCTAGACTGAAGGTAGTGTTCATTGGAACCCGAGTTACTTCGGTTTTGATTCCTAAAATGATAATATAAAATACAAATAAGGTTCATCAAAACCATTCATTAATAAAATACGCTTCGTTGTAAGTACCTATCAGGATTTAAATGTTTATCTACGCATATAGATTTGATTAGACAAGTTTAAAATGTATTAAAAGTGATACTGTGCGAATGATTAGCGTAATTATTTCTTTATAGTAGTAAAGAACATGTTAGCCCTAAAACCTTAAGTGAGCCAATTTTTGATGTCCAAATCCTATTTATTATGGCCATTATACCACCGCAGATGGGGCCCAAAAGGGCTGATGTTGATGATACAATAATATACCATGGCCCCAGCCTGGAGCAGGAGAAGGAACGAGGTGGTTTTTAGTCAGTAAGAGTTTGACACTCCCTCTCGCCCTACCCAGAGTGGGAGAAGATATCTGATAATTATTCCAAATCAAAAAAAACCTATTATTATACAGCTCCCATAGTATGAAAAGAGTCTATTGCAATGCATCGGATACAATTAATTAACGGGGACTTGAACCTTATCCAGTCTTGGGAGCATAATGGATTGACAATTTCCAAGTCGAAAAATCAACCATCTTACCCGTGACCAAAAGTCGAAAATCATATGAACCAATATCTTACATATATGTACGTATGATAGCTTATCAAAGAACAGCTGCTACACTTAATGATGATGATGATTAATAGTTTAACAAAACAAGTTACATTAAGTTACTTACCAAGTCTTTTAGCAATTATTTCGGCGCGTTGATCCCAAATACCCCTGGCAGCAATGAGCAGGGTCTCACCGGGAGCCACCAGGTTGTTGATCACGGCTTCCATGCCTGCGTGACCAGCTCCAGACATAGCCAGCACCAATTTACTCTGAGTTTGGAAGACGTACTGTAATCCAGCTCGAATGTCGTCTAGGACCTGTCGGAAGAATGATTTTTGTTTATGAATTTCAATGGACCTCTGAGCAGTTAAATCTTATTACATACAGGTTAAGATCAAATTACAATTATTGTTATTTCTTTCAGCACAACCACTACTAACAGCTTGAGGATATCGTCACTCCATTTAGGTTGAGAGTAGGGACATTACACTACTTTTCCACACGTGGTTTCTCCTTTCCACACGTCACTTCTTACATACATCTTTATTTTAATCTATACTAATATTATAAAGAGGCAAAATTTGTAAATTTGTACGTTTGTACCTATGTAGGGACTAATCTTTGGAACCACTGGTCGGATTGCCAAAATTCTTCCACTGATAAATAGCTACAATATTCCTGAGGGTTATTGGCTATAAAAAATTACGCTACGATCAAATAGAGCTGAGCAGCGGGTGAAACTGCGCGAGAATAGCTTGTTACATATAAATAAACTACACAATCTACGTTACTATATACAACGCTATATAATACTAAAATTAAAAATTGTTTCGATCTGAATCGAACGTTATAAAAATTCGTTGGAGGTTAAAAACCTTACTGGTACTATATCAACTAGCTTCTGCCATTTCAGGGGCTACTTTTTGCCCCAGTATTCTTCCAACTTATAATCAATCTCAGTATTCATTATTATCAAAATCCATTCAGTAGTTTTACGCAAAACAGTTACAAGACATCTATCCATACTTATAAAGTTTCGCCTTTATAATTTCAGTAGGACTTTAGCAACTACGCTGTAGTAATCAATGATATATTTAAAAATAATCGTTTTATTTACACATTTTATTTATTTTGGTCATATAACAAGTAAGATAAGATATCAACACTGCTACTATCTCGTTCTTGATTGCAGTTCTATGGAGTTTAGTCATTACCTACTACTGATAATTAAATAAAGCAAATCATTGTTAGTTTTACAATTAACGACTTTATTTCTTAATGATCAGCTGATCGAATGAATGTTATATTTACGTTATAACAAAAACTGTGTGTATATGCAAGTCTTTTGTCATTAATCGGACACAGTTTCAAACTTTGTCCTTCGACTAAGACCTTTTCCAATAATAATTATTTATTTCATTTGAAAAGGAAATCAAATATCCATACACAATTCGCTACATTTGTGATCTGAATCCACACTTATACAAACTTAATATTTAAAATGCGAAAGTAACTCTGTCTGTCTGTCTTTTCTTCACGCCTAAACTACTGAAACTATTTGTGTAAAATTTGTTACAGACATAGTTTGACACTCGAAAAAGGACATAGGATAGTTTTTAAACCAAAAATCTGCAGGAAATCACTATTCCACGCGAACAAAGTCGCGGGCAAAAGCTAGTACACAATTAATAATAGGCGTATAATCCTGTCTACTCCTTTTAATTTTGGTTTTCATATTAATACGTACGCCATAGAATTCTTCGCAGTTCGGTGTGATGACGGGATTGGCGATGGCCTCAGCGACTGAAGGCCAGTAGTCACAAGGCCCTGGGCCACATAGGAGAGGTTTCACAAACTCCCTGTTCTGTATCTTCGGTGCCGTCACTCTTATCTTGTCTGAATGCATGGCCTGTAAAATATAATATTTTGAGCATAATTTTGTATATTAAAAAGACAAATAATCAGACGGTTCCTAGATGGTCATTTTTTGAAACGTAGGTAATAATTTAGACGATTATTTTTTAAGAATAGCTACGATATTTGAATGGCCAATATTATAAAAATTTAGTTTCATTTTATTTGAATATAGAGCGTTATTAGTTTGAACTGTCTATCACACGAGCTTCTTGGCGGCCCATAAAAAAAAAATAAAGTTGTTGAACCGACCTTTAAAATTAAAGATTGATCATAGACAAAGGTTTTGTCATAAAAATTGTCTTAGTTTATTTGAAAGCTTAAATAAATTTTCAAACTGCTTTTCAGTCAGATTCAAAGTCGGGCCTGCCGGGTGCGGTCAAACCGCTAGAGCGACTTGCAGCGAAGGAACACCGCAGTTGTTTTAGCTAGTGTGTGAGGCAAGCCAATGAAAATTTTCGTCGTGATATGAAAAATGAGTTTTAAAGGGAATTAGTACCTACATAATTATTTTAGGTTTTCTAAAATAATACTCGCAAGAAGGTTCATTCCATGAATTTGTAAGATCCAGATGAGAATCACTTAGGTACTCGCTGTCGACTTTGTACATAATAATATGTATGTATAAGTATATCTAATGTTATTGAAGAGGTGACCGAAATTTTATACTTCATGTTATTAAATATTTTTATGAAAACATTTTCAGATAAACCAATATATAGGGCAGGCCAAAAAGACCAAAGTCATAGAACGGCTTTACAGAACAACACTTAGGTTGTAGTCATCTCAGGCCCAATCCCCAATCCGCAATCCCCAAATACTTTATCCCAAAAAACTCACAAAATTTCTCAAAAAAAAAAATTAACAATCGCCACACCAAAGGGTGGCCCTTGGTGTGGCGAAGGACGGCGGGCGGCACCGATTGCTAACTATCAGGTAATCCGTCTGGTCTGGTCAAACCAACCCACCCCAATAAAATGTGGTGAAATAAATAATGTACTTAAACTACACTCAGGACTTAACTAGTACTTACTCAATTATTTATTTATGTCACTGGCTTGAACACAAGTGAGAAAAAAAAGAAAACAAAAAAAATGAAAAAAGAAAAATCGCGAATTCGTGCAACACCGTACTGCACAGTCCACTAGTATCAAAAGACTAACTCGATTATAGAATAATAAAGTAGTTTTGTATTTATATATACGCATATTATCAATAAATCGATCGGTTTACCAGATTACGCGTCCAGTTTCACATGGCCTCTCTTTGTACAACATTTCCTTACATTAACCTGTCATTTTAAACAGGCTTATGTACCTTGTAGATATATACAACGATGACAAAGTTATAAGATAGGAAATTATATAAATATAGGTATATATATATATGTTTATGTGTTATATTAGATGATAGATATGATTATAATTGGTTTAATGCATCCTATTTATAGAATAGCACCAGCCAGCAGCTCGTCGCGCAGGTCGCGGCGCGCCAGGCGCACGGCTATGGCGCGCGGCCGCGTTGCTGCCGGGCCGGCTGAGCTAGTAGCGTTGAGTTGCTTGCCTCCGACCCGCTCCGCGCTGACGATGTCCCGCACCTCCAGCTGCACCCCTAACTTAAGGCCCACTGCTTTAGCTAGGTGGATCGGGTTTTCAGAAGGAGCCTCCGGTACACATGTGATCTCCACGTCATTTGCCAGTAGGTCCTGATCCCGATCGTTTAGCTCACGCCTCAGCTCCTCCACGACCTCGTCCGCCGACGAACGACCCACAGAAGTCCGCTGCTCCAGTGTTATTATTCTGGCTTCGAGGCCATCGATGCGCACGTTGCAGCTGCTCACTGAAGACACGAGTTGCGCCATCTCCAATTCCATCTCTTTGCGGAACTCTTGGATCTCCGCTCGCATCGCCCTCAACTCATCCATGAGCATTCCCATATCAGGGTCTGTGATAGGGGAAATTTCCCGTGCCGCGGTGGCTGCTGAAAAGGCACCCCTACGTAGTGGCGTGGAAGCAGACGACGGGCTAGTGCATTGTTGCTCAACCACAGGACTAGAACAACTGGCGTTCAGCTCATTAGGCGCGAGGGCCACTAAACAAGTTTGTGTCGTAGGATCTCCGGCTGCGCTAGCCGGGCCTCTGACCGGAGTCTCCGCCCTGTTATCCCTGACCAGGTTTTTTTACACTCAGGGCAGCGCCAAGTACTGGGATAGCTACATCCGGCTTGAAACCAACGCATCCTCTGTGGTATAGTCGCCGACACTTACTATTAGCACACTTGACGCCCTCTATAGCAGAAGCAAAGCGATTGCAACCCGCGCACTGAATACCTGGCATTGTAGTAGGCGAAAAGGTAAAACCGCGTCTTAGTTAGTTTAGTGCAAAATCACTAGATGGCCACTGGTCCGATATCAATCGATGAGTTTGGTATGATGTTAATAACACTGACCAAAAAAAGAGGGTAGAAATTAAATATATTTAGTCACTGTGTTCTATTTATTTCCTTTAAATCCCTTTATGCACTCAATCCACTGCCGACTCCAATATATGTGTCACTTTGCGCCGCACTGTGTTTACAACAACGTAAGTATATAAATGACTACTATGTTCCACGAATTATTAATAAAAAGCAAGACGCGCACGAACTGCACCGACAGACGTCCGTCCGACGTAATTCTCAAATAAGGAGGACATTTTTTTTTTCTGATGGTAAGTAATCAGCGCCGCCCATGGACACCCGTAACGGAGGAGTAACGAGTGCGTTGCCAACCTTTGAGGGATTAGGGTTTTGGAGATTTAGGGATTGGGCGGGATCGGGGGAGGGGAAGGATTGGGTCTCCGGAACCTCACTCACACGGCGAAACACAACGCTGTGGTTGTTTCACGCCGGTTTTCTGTGAGGCCGTGGTTCACTCCGGTCGAGCCGACCCATTCGTGCCGATGCTTGGCTCTCCCACACTTATGGACACTTATGGATGACATGGACAAAATAATATCAATATAAAATGTCAAGCTTTCACTAATTCAATTGATAATGTGTATTATTATTTATGTTTGTTCGTTTCCGTTCACGGAACCACAGGCTCTCGGACCTTTGGAAGGCGTACGAGGGGTCGAAGCCAACTCGCAGAGGCCCTTTGAACTTTAATATTAGTGAAATGGGATATCAACCTGCACTTATTATTATTATTATACGAACTACGATTTGTGGCTCACACGAAGCACTGCTCGTTGCACGAAAGCTATTAATACTTACGTATATTAATCTATGGTACCTCTGCAACTACTGTGTAATCTAAAATTATGTAACAATTTGACTAAGAAGTCAAATTACTAAGTACAAACTACTAAGTACTAAGTACTTAATTCTGATAAGATATCAGAATTAAGTACTTACTTAGTTTTCTAGGTGAAAAATAAATAAATTGTGACAGTAAAATATTGAAAAATAACTATACCTTCATTCATTTATCTCTCGATACGCTAAATTTTCGAAGTTTTTTAATCAATTTGTAAGAAGAAAAAGTAAGCTATCTGACGCAATAATACTACCTAATACTTACGTGAAAATTTGAAGTTTCAGGAAAATTTCATAGGAAAGTATCATTTTTGACATTTGGATAAAAGTATTGAATTTGACTAGTTGAAAACTACCGTCTTCATTTCAAAATAAAATATATAGTTAGGTAACAGTAAAAATAAATTACACGTCAAACATACAAAATGAAAATATCACTTTTTCTCTTTCTGTTAAATTCGAATTAGTAAGTATTAATATTAATTATAAGAACTGTCCAAAACAAATGTCTAAATTCCAAGTTCGATTTTGGTACTCATCACATAATTACAGAAGAATATATTTTACAATACTCCCTGAAAATTTTAAGATTGTATTTAAAAAAAACTAAATAAGTGATTGTCGTGGCGGCCTGGAGGTTAAGGAGCCCGCTTCTCATGCATGAGGGTGTGGGTTCGAAACCTGGCAAGTACCAATGTGACTTTTTCCGAGTTATATGTACTTTCTATGATTATTTAGATACCACTGACATACGGTAAAGGTAAACATCGTGAAGAAACCTGGACTTATAATTTCTAATTATAAGTTTGAAATCGCCAACCCGCATTGAGCAAGCGTGGTGATCAATGCTCTAACCTTCTCCGTATGAGAAGAGGCCATTGCTCAGCAGTGGGCTCTTATAGGCTGATGATGATAACGAAAATAAGTAATTTAAAAAGTGAAAAAAGAAAATTAGGAATATTAGTAGTCGTGTCGAGTAACAGTATAAGATTGTTTCCATTAGACAATGTTACAATATTTACATCGTCCTAAAGCATTTAGTGAGCGTCGCCACCTGCCGGAGGGTTCCGTAAAGTGCCTTGTTAATGGACAACTACAAAACATTTTGCGAACATTGAATTGTTTTTTGTTACACTACTTTATTTAATTTTCTTTCAGCATTTTATTCCGCCTATGTTGTGTACGAAGTCTTGAACGAAATAATAAGGATCTGAAATTATTTTGTGCGTATCCAATGATGTATGAGTGTTAAAGGACATGGCCAACTTTTGTATGGGCGTTTGCATAGTTATTGAATTCAATGTACATAAATAATTTTTGGTGTTTACTTTCGTGAATATTATTAAATTAAATTGCAATAAATAAAACACATGAAGAACTCGTAATTATAACAAACAAGACGAAAATAGTTTCACTAAACCTTTAGTCAGATTACTGGCCATAAGTGCACGAAATAAGATTTTGCTTTTAAAAACCATGGCGTTTTAATTATTCATTTATAAAATAAAACAAAAGAATATGTATAAAGAATAATGATTTATTTATTAAGGAGAACAAATAAAATAAAACTACGCAATAATTCACTTTTATATTTTTATTATACAGTGTATTTTATTGTGTTTGTGTATGGAATGTACGTTTCCGTAATATATATTCCGTATAATTGGGTAATAATATGGTAGTACTTTCCATTTGAAGCGGCCTGCTTAAAACAGGTGGTAATGGTGGTGGCTCTGGTGGGCTAACCACTTAATTATAAGGGGCTGCTGCATTGTTGTCCGAACCCAATTCCTGCTAGTTTCATGATAAGTCGTGCACTGTCTGTCTATTTGCCCGCATACAGCACACATGACAAACATAGTTGCTTCTTGAGGTCTGAAAATAAACCCCAGTTAGAATAAACACATGTTTTCAAGTTTTATGTTATTGTACAGTGAGAAGTATTATGTTACAACATGCCTATTTTAAAGAAGTCTATGCAAACATGGAAAATACATAAAGATAGATATTATAATCACACATACCTACTATGAGTACTTTTTTTATAGATTAATATAGATAAATACAAGTACATATATAAAAAAATGAATAAAAAACAAAATGCTTACCACATTAATAGTATTTTGTGATATTAAGCCAGCTAGCAATGGAGAGTCCATACTGACATTATGGTGTTTTATTTTTCGAACCGATTTTCCACAACCAAGGCAAGCCATGTTATGCCCCAGTAGTCTCTCATGTTCACCAGCCTCGGTATTCAATAATAAGAAGCGTGGTTGACAAATGAATATCCCCAGAGGCAACTAAAAACAAGATGCAGTATTTAAAATCGCATACCATTATAAAACATAAAAAACAGTCTAAGTATTATACTATTCCGACTTCATACCTGGGTTTAAGCTGGTTAACCAACGTGAAAGTTTTGTTTGATGGTGTGCAGAAAGCGAGGATATAAGACGCCTCTGCAGCCTTTGTACGCTTATTCCGCAGTTGATGCACCTCATCGTAATCCACAAAACAAATCCAAAACGCAAAACAGTTACTCCAGTATTATTAGTAAGGTTAACAAAAACACGCTGTCAAAAGTGTCAAACACTTTCCGTTTCGTTTAAGTTTTTTTTTTTTTTGTGAATTGGATAAAAATAAAACATAATATTATTATAATATGAGTATATTTTAAAACCAATGAATACAGTTTCGTGTGAATAAAATGTTCCTAGTGTAATGCATTTGTCGATCATATCACACGTTTTCTACGAGTGTAGTTTAAGACACGTGGTTTGGAATTGGAACGTCTT